GACTAATTAAAAAAGGGAGATAGTCATTATATTTCTGCGGATGAAACAAGGTTTTAGAAATATATATAAGTTGGTTTTCAGAATCCGATTTCACATCAACTGAAGTGACCTTCTGTGATGCTTACTTATAACCACTAAGTTTCAATTCATCGGCTATTGGACTAGATCCCAGTGACTGAATGCTCTACGAGTTTGCTTTTCAACTACCTGGAAGGTCCTGTGTTCAGACACCGATAGATGTGTACAATGAAGAGTCCCAAGCAAGGACGAAATAGCTGTGCAGTATTCTCTGGTTCTTCAGAGGTTCTTTAACTGATGTCAGCTAGGGACAAAACCTGTGATATAAGAGACATCAAATCTTAGGCGAGGTATGTATGTGTGCTAAGCGCTTCGTGGATAAATTACAAAACACAGGGACAGCTCCTAATTACTTCATGCATTATGCAGTTTAGATATGTGTTATAAGGAAATCGTTAAGGTGAAATATGTCAGGGATATTACCAAATCTAATGTGTTAATAAAGTAATGCGCCACATAAGGTGTGAAAGATATAATGACACAGAAACCTAAATAAAAACTACAAACAAATAAAAGAGTAGCTGGAGTCACTAAATTGTCAATAAAGAGGAGTTAGTCCAAGTTGACACACTTTTGAATAGGAGAAATGAATGTAGGGAGGAAAATGTAATTAAAGTATGATAAACGAGGATGTATAGGAGATAAAGTTGTAATCAGAAGAATATCAGAGGGGAATTTCAAAATTCGGATGCTATGATAAAGAAGAAGTGAAGGAATATATGCTGTTGTGAACAACTTTGCACTGTTTTTAACAGTAAGGGTTTCCAGGATGTGACTCTTAGAGTCCTGGAGACTCCAGCAAGACATTATTTTTTAAATCTCCCGAAACACCTCGCATTAACAGTCAACAATATGATGAATTAATGCCATTTTTTTATTGTCAAGTCGAACTGTTTACCACCAATATAATCATATTCCAGATAAAATTATTATCTGAGGAAGGTGCTTGCTCTGCACAACTAATAGACGTCCTAGCCACTTCTTTTTACCATGAACTGTATGTCTCAACTCATTATTATTTGGTTGCTCTTTTATATGCCGTGCAGTAAATGCAATCCATGTGATACTCTTGAAAACTTCTACAGATTATCTATACAAGAAGTATTATGGTGTTTTCACGTTCTATGATGTGCTGACGTTGTACACGGTCAAAGAAGCACAAGTGAAAATGTGAAAAGGTGCACTGTTAACGAAATCGAATTACGAAAAACGCAAAAACGAACGAAAAATGTATGACCACTTAAAAATGCATATGTAACAAAAAAAAGCTATGTTCAATAATACAATGGCAAATATTCCACAAACATATGTAAAATTAGTTTCTGTAAGCCTATATATAACATGCGTACATGAGTTAGTTTTATAAGCATGCAGTTAGGCTTAATATAGGGGTTGCTACAGTATGATAGCCTTTTGTATGAGACATAAATAAATGTCGCTATTTAAATTTTTTGTAAAAATGTGCGGTTTGATACTATTGTAACGACAGAATGCAAGAGTCAGGCAACAGATCGTTTATTAAGGAAAATCAACACATATTTATAGATTTTAATGTACATTGTTGTAGATTATTGTTAGTAGAAAATAGAGTCTTTTGATTGCTTATTTCTCACAGAAAGTTAACCTTGCATCTCTTTGTGGCTGTGTCAGATCATCCATATGCTAACTGTATCCGCCTACACAAAGCCTTTGTTCTCATTTTCTCACCACCAATATTGGGGACATAAACACTGACGTCAATTACTGTCTACCAACTTTGGCTAGCAGCCAGCTCTCACCACACTATGACTACACCCTGTAAAATGTATGTGAAGATTTCACTTCAGACAAATATCTGAGGAATGACTTCATAGAACACTGTTTAACTTCACAGTTGGATGTTTGGAGATAGTCTCGATTCGGAAGGTTAATCATATTGTAAAGTGGTGATGACTAGTATCGAAATGAGCAGTTTCTTAGTAAACGTGGCATTTTACGGTTTTATTTTAACTTTAACCTTTAAGCTATTGCACATATCTAAGGATATTCATAAGTTTAAATAGTGACAAACATTAGTAACTTTTTAGTCTATAAGATTACAGCTCAGTGAGTCGATTTACCCTACCCCATCTCATGGTAATGGAAAATTGTTTTGAAAATCCCTCCTGAATGATCCAATTACAATATTGATACTTATTAGGACGTTTCAACTAACTTTTTAATGATAATCCATTTTTCTCCTAGACTGTATGTATATCATTCTTCTGACGTTTGGATATTACTTATCAAAGTCAATCTGAACGAAGAATATTCTTTTCAGTTATTTCCCCTCTTCAGGCTGTCACAATTATAAAATGTAATATTTGTTGTCGTTACAATAAAGGCCAGTTACGCGGCAGATACATTTTTGAACGTAGAATAACAGATTAGTTATCGTAGGGTGTCAAAATAAATAGTCGTATTTGTGTGACGTGCTCTGGGCTGAATTCGATTACAAAATATTGTAAAACGGGAGACAATGGTGATTAATCATAATAGATTTGTAGAGTGTGGGGTAGGAAAATTGACAAGTCAGTTCAAGGTTATAAAAGGTGTCAGGTGAGTGGCTAGTACAAAGTGGTCTGTGTTAAACAAGAGATAGTAAGACTGCAATGAGAGGTTCATAATGAGATAACGAATATGTGAAATGAAAGAGGTGGAGGCATATATTGAGAGAAGAGATAATATCACTAATAATAAGTCCGGATAGTATAAACGAAAAAAAAATTCGATAGTATTGGTTCAGCAGGGGGGAGATTAAGTGCATAAAAAGCTCGATCCTGTCACACTTGGTCGATACTGGACATCATATCGATGTCAACACAGCTTTCAGGATTATGTACCGAATTCCGAAGTCATTATCACGTACAGTTCGCTTACCTCTTCTACACATAGCTGAAGCTGTTGCAATAAGATCGACTAAACCGGAACTTTGTATCCAAAAAGAACACGTCCAGATGCTGTTCCTACCGTGGCCAAACTTGGATTGATGATTCTTCTTATCATCAAGAGTGCTCCTTCCCTTTAACCCTCTTGGCTTTGTTTTTCTTTCCTTTGCTTATTATTACAATTATTATTATTCGTCATAATTTATGCCCTTCATGCAAACATTCTCTCAATACTATCGAATTTTCCATTTATACTATCCGGACTTATTATTAGTGATATTATCTCTTTTCTCAATATATGCCTCCACCTGTTTCATTTCACATATTCGTTATCTCATTATGAACCTCTCATTGCAGTCTTACTATCTCCTCTTTAATACATACCACTTTGTACTAGCCACTCACCTGACACCTTTTATAACCTTGAACTGACTTGTCAATTTTCCTACCCCACATTCTACAAATCTATTATGACTAATCACCACCATTGTCTCCCATTTTACAATATTTTGTAATCGAATTCAGCCCAGAGCACGTTTGTCACACAAATACAACTATTTATTTTGACACCCTACGATAACTAATCTGTTATTCTACGTTCAAAAATGTATCCGCTGCATAACTGGCCATTATTGTAACGACAACAAATATTACATTTTATAATTGTGACAGCCTGAAGAGGGGAAATAACTGAAAAGAATATTCTTCGTTCAGATTGACTTTTAATTCATACTATGGGAATTTTCCACACTATCAAATCTTATTACTTATCAACTTGATCCTTATTATTCGTCTTTGTTCCTGTTTAATCTCTGATTTTAATGCTTTACTTTGCGATTGTGCGGTACATTAATGATACGTCTTATGATGTGATTTTGTTTGAGTGAATCAAGTTCATCCTGACCTTGAAATGTTTGCGGGAATTGTTGCCATGTGATTCTTATTGACAGAATTCTCGATCCCACCTTGTCGGGAATATTCTACTTGATTCTAAGGTACTTCTTACGGTCGAATCTCGGTTAACTAATTATTGTCTACAGTACTTGTTCTGAACGGAGAAATTTACCTTGTGTTGTAACGGTAGAAGACAGGGGACTTGGTAACAGAATGTCTGTTTGGAATTTAGTATCTCTGTATAACGAAATTATGTACACCACACCTTATCTTCAAATCACCATTTGCACAGATATTCCGTGTTGTGCTACTTCTGTCCGTCGCATTGTGTTTTTTTGGTCTTCTTTTCTTGTCGCCCATGTTTTGCTGTAACGCTGAATCATTTTCTTTCTCTGACATTAAGTCTATCTCCCTGATATTTGATGTTTTTATGTCGATGAACATCTCTTTACATTTATATGTATATACTACTGACAAATCTTATCAGTAGCTCACGCCACAGTGTCTTTAGCTGCTTAATGACACTGTTGAGATAGTTTTGAGTTTTTGATGTTGTTACTTTTGAATAGAACAATATGAGTCTATCGACGATAAATCGTCATTTTTCTGTCTTTGGGGCGTTGAGTGGCTGTACATGTCTCAAGGAAGTTTCTTACCGCTTTATAGTAGGACACGAAGATCGGTTCGTTTTGTTCAGGACAAAACGAGTCAGCTTCCATTGTTAAACTCATTTCTGTGAATTAAATAGAAGGCAAGAAAAATGGAAGTGAATAAATAAAACTCACCTGACCAACGATTGTAGAGTGTTTTAAAGCCATGAAATACAAGATGAGACATGCTAAGAAGTACGGTTTCACAATTAAAATAAAGACAAGGCATGAGAACGTTTGCGTCACTGTTGTCAGCTTTAGACCGAATAACCTAGAGTTCCTATTCACAGATTCTTCTATCCTTTTGACTGCCTATTAAACAAGAAGAGCATTCACTTAGTTGAATGTGTATACCAGGTATAACGGATAATTTTTCATTTATGAATGTACCTTACTATAATTTCTCAAAGTATTCCAGTGAAATTTAATTTAATCTGTTGAATTTTGATCAATAATATTCCATTTTTTGTAGGATAGTGTTCGACCAGAAGATGCATCTAGACGATTTATTCTATCATACTGGTTAGCTGATGATATGATATCAATTTTTGAAACTCCTATAAGAAATTCTGGTTTCATTGGTGGAACATTTCTTAAAAAAGCAAGGTAAAATTAAATTAATTTATAAAATGTATAATTTTCACATTATAAACCAGGATAATTTTAAACATAGATAATCTAAAGTTAACAGTCAGACGGATTTAAGTTCATGTGTGTGACATTACTTTCACCACAAATCGTAATCATCTAAGGAGAAGAAAGGAGAACTAAAAATTAATCATTGTGTTTGATTCTGATGTGAACTTCTTCTTCTTTAGTGTAAGCTTTCTATTCATCATGGGACTTAAGCCAAAGATGCCTCAATACAGAGGGGGCATTTCGGTTCATTAAACCTGGGCAACAGAAAATACGACATTAACTGACGTAATAATTGATACCCTTTGCACAAGTGGGGCTGCCCTCGTGGCTGACGAGTCGTAAATAGGACGAAACACGTATCGCGGATTCCACTGTAAGCCATCATCCACCATTTAGTTTTATGTTTCCTTTCAGCTAATTTCTATTCGGTTATTCATTCAGTTGTCGGTCTATATTAGTTAGTAGAATTGAATGACGGAGATATTCATGGAGAAGAGAAATATCTTGATCTGGACGCCTATCTCATACCGAATTCCTCACACTTATGAAAACAGAGAAGAGTATTCTACTCTTAAGATTACTAAATGATGTGTGGCTCAAGTGTAGAAATTTGATTTTATTCAGTTCTCTAAGCTATATAGCTCAAATGAGAAGTTCTTATTGGTTTTAAGGTAATTTTTGCCTCGAATTAATATTAGGCTTGAAATAAGTGGAATTCAAGGAGAACAGAACAGTAAAGGGATGGATTGCAAGCTTCCATATCAATATTTTCTCAATTATTTTTTCTCATACTTACCTTCATCTATTGTGGCTTTATTGTACTTGTTTTCTACAGCTTACTGTATGCTCTTCCAGAATGTAAACACTTGGACTATAGACCCTTGTGAAAGTCTTTAAATTCATAAACTTTTATTTATTTCATTTTATTTCTGTGGGCTGCGAGTGGAACGTAAGGCTTCAGTACCACTGGTGTTTCTTACGGGATCGGGTTGCTAGCATCACGTCCAAACTTCCCTCTTTGTCCGGCTTACAGCAAGCTAGGGGAGCTAAAGATGTGCACCGGCTGGGAATCGAACCCTAGACCACATGCATCATTGGCCAGCATTCTGCCGCTGAACCATCAACACACAAATTGATAAACTAATGAGTCAGTCAAAAATATGTATTGAATGTGGTCGAAGCACGTAATTCAGTGTTAGCTTGTTTACTAGACGTGTTTTGACATGTCAAAGATACAATACAATAAAGTTCCAAATAAAATTGATCTGATGGTCACTGTAGACTGGCCCTATTCAGGCCTAGGGTTATCTGGGGTTCTGTGGGAAGCCGTGACCAGTAGGGTACATCAGATTGAAGGTGAGGACAGTTACTCATCGAAGAAGACATTACGAAGTGGTCGTGATATGTCATGAATTGGCAGAAGTTAGAATTCATGGGCTGGCCATTGGATCGGGTCTCAGTGGCTTAATGGTTTACGAGCTCGCTAGGCTTGTAACCATAAGGTCCTGGATTAGAGCCCTAGCAGTGGGTGCGTACTGGTGAGGAGTCCCAAACTAGGAAGGGGGAAACAGCTGTCTAGTACTCCCAGGTGGTTTTCCAATAATTCTGTAACTGATATTAGCTTGTGATGAGATCCTTCAACCAATCAAATAACATAGTCACAGGTTAACTGCAGCCAGAAGATTACATTCCTACCACAGAAATATTACTGAACTTAAACTAGAGTACCTTATTTACTGACTTTAAGCAATAACATACAGGAAGAAGAAATCATAAAACTAGAAAATAGCTTTATCCCTGTGATACAGGAAATGACAATAGAATCATAAAATTCAACTTCAATCAAATAATTTAATAGCATTTAAAGACAGCTGAAGACTATATCAAAACGAAAATCAACCTGTGTATTTAAACAAGAACAAAGCAAATACAAGCTGATCAATAAATAATCTGTAAAAACACCGTATGAATCAAATTACACAAAGTACAGTTTATCTAGTACTTCAAATAGTGCTATTTTATGTATGAGTTTTTATACATTTTTATTCAATGCCTAAAATTATTATATAACAGTAAAATATTAAGCTTCATTAAAATATTTTATCTAGGATATTCTATTTAGACTGAAGTTGACTTTAATAATGATACTAACGTATTGATTATCCAAGCACATAACCTGGCTGATACTTCCTAATAGAAATCAGTTGAATTTCGTGTGACTAAGTGAAATCGAAACTCTGTAGTGCACCTTGAATGTTTGGACTTTTGTTTTAATGCATTCATGTAATATGCCGTCGCGCTTTCACTGTTCTTCTGGCGTGAATGCTCGCACGTGGCTTGCTGCCTCGTTGTGCTATCATTAGGCGCACTCTTGAGCTCGTCACTCCAGCCAGTTAACAGATAAGTTGTACAGTATTCTTACTTATTAAATTTAACATTTAATCTGTGGTAAAAATATAATCATCACCTGGGTACACTACCTAGTCACAAATCTTTTTACTTTGAGTTCGTTATCGGTACTTACATGTTAGGTAGAGTACTGATCAGGGTTAATTGAGGAAAAACAAGTTTAGTAGGTGCTGCCATTAAAGACTACCTAGAGGTAGATATCGACACTTACAACTCAATCATCGACATATGAAAGAGTAAGGGAAATGTTAGTATAAAAATATTATGCAGTATTGTAACAACAGAAGACAAGGGCCAGGCAACAGAACGTTTATTAAGGAAAATCAACACATATTTATAGATTTTAATGTACATTATTGTAGATTATTGTTAGTAGAAAATACAGTCTTCTGATTGGTTGTTTCTCACAGAAAGTTAACCTTGCATCTCTTTGTGGCTGTGTCAGATCATCCATAAGCTAACAGTATCCGCCTACGCAAAGCCTTTGTTCTCATTTTCTCACCACCAATATTGGGGACATAAGCATTGACGTCAATTACTGTCTACCAACTTTGGCTGGAAGGCAGCTCTCACCATAGGATGTCTCTACAAATAGTCCAAAATTAACAAAGAGTCTACTTGGTGCTCACTAACAGAACCACTTATGCGTGATGGTCAAATTTTAAGCTATAAAATATGAGCAAACGGAAATAGTAGATATGGTATTGCAAACATTTACAGTGAATGACATATACATATATTTTCAAGAAGTTGGTTTGTAAGGATTAGATTTGCTTTTAAGAGTTTGACCACGGATTGATATCAGTTAGAAAACCATTGAAAACCGGCACTGGAGTACTGCCAGACAGCTGTTTCTTTCTAGTTTAGGAATCGTCGGCAGTACTCACCCACCGCCAGGGTTCGAACCGAGGATCTTCCGGTTACAAGGCAAGCTCATATACCATTCAGCCACTGAGACCCTGATATCAATGCGTGGTCAAACTCGTAAAAATATATATATATATTGAAGGATATATTGTGTTAAACTACTCTTGTATAGTTGAGGTATACCGAACCGAACTAAGAACACGTAAGAGAAGTGACTTAATTTCCCATAAGCTGAAAGTTAAGTGATGCGCTCACTGCCCACTATGAAATGCGAGACAAAGCCAAGATAATGTTTTATATAAATAATAATAATACCTTTAGGAAAGCCAAGCACTTCAACAAATATCTAGACTTAAAATCATTTTATACTCAGTGGAATGTTCGATAAATTGAAATTCCTACTTATGAAACAAATAATCTAACTAAACGAAAAAAAGAGCGCATTTGCCAGTAAACAATGGTCCTCCTAAAAATTAATTCGATAACTTAATAAAACACATAAAGGAAATAAAAAACTGTTTCGGTAGTCATTCCGAAAGAACTAAGATAGAGTTGCAAGTCTTCATTTTTTTATTCCTTCACGTTCTCAGTGGAACATAGGGCTTCAAGCTAGAGGCTTGAAGTTTCTGTAGCAGTGTTTATTTTACAGGATGGGGTTGCTAGCCTCATGCCCAACCTTTCCTCTTCACCAGCTTTAGTTCTGGCTTAGCGAGGTAAAGGAGTGCGTCGGCCGGGGACCGAACCCCGAAACCATGTGCATGGTCGGCGAGCGTCCTAACCGCTATGCCACCGACGCACATAAGATTACTTTATTCGCTGATAGATTAATATTGTAACGGCAGAAGATAAGAGAAGTGGTAATGAAGCCCCACTCAGCAAAAACGAATCATATTCATGCATTTTCTAGCGATACTAAGATTTGGATAGGTTAGAGGACGACAGATTGTTCTGATTAGTTGGAGATTGGTCCAAGGTTAAACAGTAAGACGTAAAGCTGTTCAATCAGATCATTTCATATACAGAACGTAAACTATATCCACATTTGAGGGACTTAAAATGTTGGTTTCAATTGTGACCATTTTTTCCTCATCCCCATCCACATACTGCAACAACAGTAGACAAGGGCCAGGCAACAGATCGTTTATGACGGAAATCAACACATATTTATAGATTTTCATGTACATTACAACAGATTATTGTTAGCAGAAAACACAGTTTTCTGATTGATGGCTTCTCTTTGTGGCTGTTTATTGAAGTTCAGATTATCTATCTGCAAATTGTATCCGCCTACGCAAAGTCTGCTGTGATTGGTTGTTGAATCAGTCTTTGTTCTAATTTTTCTCATGACCAATATTTGGGACATAAACATTGACGTAAATTACTGTCTACCAATTTGACTAGCAGCCAGCTCTCACCACAATACTACTTACAAATCTTGTCAGTAGCACACACCAGAACTACTGTTCTATCTTATAAAGGAATAGCCATAATATCTCACCAATAAAAGTCTATGTATTCATGGTGTTGGTTACGATATGTAGAGAATAAGTTGGTCATATCGAATAAACAGAATTTTTAAATCATTTTTCAGGTGATCTAATTACTGTTAGAAAAGGGATTATAATAACAAGCAGAATATGTAGGCTAAGAGAAAATATATTCTAAAGCAACCATCGAAAAGAAATGGACATTCGATTCAAAATGTTCCACAAAAATCACCTTTCATAACACCTATAAAGCAGAAACTGATGAATAATGACAAGGATTATTATAAAAAAAACTGTAGTATTGCTATATGTAATAAGAAAGGTACATTAGAAGCAGCAATTCAATAAACAAATGAATCAGATTAGTAACAAACAAAACCACTTCAAAGATTCAATGAAGAACACTAGACAAAAATGAAGTAGTATACAAAATATCCCGTAATAAATGCCAAAATAAACTATGTACATTAGATTCTGAGGTCGCCTAAGATGAAACTGAATTGTCATAAGTTATTAATTTTCAAGTATTAGTTTTTTAGGGATTTTGTTTGATTCGATGGGGGATTTCATCATAAGAACCACTGGAAACCCTGGACAGCTTTTTCGTCCTAGTTTGGGACTTTTCAGCAATACACACCCACCGGGGTTCAATATGAAGAAATAGAAGGAAAGATTAAGAGTAGGATCCCTGTTCATACACGTGACTCTTAACAAACAGAACAAAAATGACGTCACACAACTGTCAGCATTATGGGACACAGTTTTGTCTACATAAAAAAACATCTAACTACAAAATAAAGACGCTACACTTAGCGGTTATAGTTTGTAAAAGTGCGAATAAAAGATCTCAATAATTTGTGTGATCACAGACCACACTTATGTTTGAAATAATACTAATAATTTAAACTCAGGATTTCGCATAAACACTTACTACAAATACATTCATAATATTTGAATGTCAGTTCCTCGATGGCTCAGCGGTAGAATGCACATCAACCACGTAAGTGGTCCTCGTTCGATTCCCAGCTGATTTACTCTCCCAGATGACTAGCTGTGATCATAAGCCTGGAAAAGAAAGGAGTATGGTCAAGCAGCTAGCCACCCATACCCCTAAAAACAAAATCACCATCTCTGCTGAGACTACAAAACTTAAAGCTTGAAGCCCAGTTTTCCATTTGGAATGCAAAAGAATAAAAAGCGAGTTACTAATGAAATCATGAAACGATTAGTAATCAGATTCTATAGAACTAATTATTTAATTGACATTGGCATTACTATGAATTAAATGTTTAACCTAAAACGATAACGATGAATGTGTGCACTAGTATTGCTGTAGTATTGTCGTTAATGATACAGTTAAGTGTGAAGTGTTAGGAATGGGGGGGGGGGAAGGTTAGTCATTGAAGTTATGAAGACCCAGTAACTGATGTGGCAAGGACATGTGTTACGCATTCCGTTCCACTGCCTGAAGTAACAAGAAATGCTATATGAAATAGAAGCGGATTAGTTAAGTATAAGTGATGAATAGACCAATCTATGAAATCACTGAATATTGATTTGAATCAGGCAACCAGGTGTCCGTGTTTTCACTGGTATTCCAGGGATGATAAGAATCCCTGTTAAGCAACTCTTTAGGAAACAACTCAGGTAGTTTTTTGACAGTTGGTCAAATATATGTTCACTCTTTGTTATCATCCAGGTTCTTACCACCAAACATTTTTGTTTATTGTATTTGGATCATTAGACTGTTGAATGCGATCAGCAGGAAACCTTGGACCTAGGCTCCCAATACATTCCCACAGGAGGCAAGTTGCGAACCCGAATAGCTAAGCGGTGACGTCTCTGACTGCAGCACTACGTGACTGGGTTTTGAATCTCAGGAGGAACAAGAATTCCTTCAGAGATTGCATATATTCCTTGCTGAGGAGCGCCAACAAGCACGAAACCTTCCTTCCAATTGCCTCCAAATATCTAACAGTATTTTAGAGTGCACCATAATGGCGAGTCACCTAGCATGGTGACCATATTACAGCCCTGAATTATAGGATTCAGTGTCCACCAAACGAAGGACTAGACTCAATCAATCAAAGTATTTGGAATCATAATCCTTTTTTACTTATATGTAATACCATATCTGAATGTAGCATCTTAAACTTGACCTTGATAATTTAATCCCTTCAATTTTGCTTATTCTACATTAATCCATACCATTCTTTTCGCCTTTTTTCCCTCTGTTTTCAATTTTACCCCCCCCCCCAAAAAAAAACAGAGTTGCTAAACCTGGTAGTACAATCGACAATCCAGTGTACTATGGTCCAGCAGATTTTTCTTTAGGTTCAAAAATTGACGTGTTCGGTACACGTTTCATTATAACAGATGCTGATGAATATGTTGTTAAATTTCTTGAAGCAAATCGTGATCAATTTCCTGATGAATTGATCACTTGCTTGAGAGCACGTTTAACAGAAAAAGAAATTCAAGAGAAGGCAAAACAACAAATGAAATCTAAAATGAGTAAAGGATGTAATCTTGAATTTAGACGAGAGTAAGTAAAGTTTTTTTTCTATTTTTAAAATACTTTTTATCGACTTTTTCCTGTTATTCATAATCTATTTTAGTAAAATACTACAAGAAGTTTAATATTATGTCTGATGTTTCAGCTGATTGCTTTTGGATCTTCAAGTATTGGTTTTGTAGGGATTTTTGTTTGATTGGTTGGAGGATTTCAACATGAGTTGAAATCAGTGAGGTGAGGACAGTTGCTCATCGAAGAAGACATTGCGAAGTGGTATTGCTATGTTGTGAATCGGGAGAGGTTAGAATTCGTGGGCCATTGGATTGGGTCCCAGTGGCTTAATGGTCTATGAGCTCGCTAGGCTTGTAACCAGAAGGTCCTGAGTTCGAACCCTAGCGGTGGATGCGTACTGATAAAGAGTCCCAAACTAGGACGAAACAGCTGGACGTCCACTACTCCCTGCAGGTTTTCTAATGGTTCTCCAACTGATGTCAGTTCATGAAGAAATCCTCCAAGCAATGAAATATTGATTTTATAAGGCCTTGATTTATATTTTACAGTTGATTACTGTATAAGTGTGATATTAAACAGAGAGTCAAAATGCCAGTGTACAGGTATTGGTCTTCAGTCTATGGTTGTTCATTTGTGTGTGCCCCTAAACCCTATCGGGGATCTTTTATAATGACAGATTATTATGAAATAACACTGAGTGGTTGCCAAACTATGTTGAAAATTGACAGCAATTAGTTCTCACAAGCCATTAGATTTTAACTCATAAGGTGAATAATTAACTTGCTTGCGCCAAGGAATACAGTATACATCAGCCCTGTCGTTGGTGAGTTCGTAAACAGAAACTCCTGGAGTTCGGAGCTTCCATTATAGAATTAAAACGGGAAAAGGCAGCTACAGTCCTATGTACACAAAGTATGAACTGAATGCAAAGAATCTTAACACCTTTTCAATCACCATCAGTTGTTTGATTTCCCTCAGCATTACAACCATCTATCCTTCATTTCTTCCAGAGAGCTTTATTACTACTTTTAAGGAAGAAGTCATACTGTAAGAACAGAAGACAAGGGTCAGGCAACAGATCGTCCATTAAGGAGATCAACAGATATTTATACATTTTCATGTACATTATTATAGATTATTGTTAGCAGACAAACACTGTTTTCTGATTGGTTGTTTCTTACTGAACGTTAATCTTTCATCTCTTTGTGGCTGTTTCTTGAATGTCCGATCATCTATCTGCTAATTGTATCCGCCTACGCAAAGTGTGCTGTGATTGGTTGTTGAGTTAGTCTTTGTTCATATTTTTCTCATGACCAGTATTGGGGACATAAACACTGAAGTAAATTACTGTCTACCAATTTTGGTTGGCAGCCAGGTCTCACCACAATACTATATCCTACTTATGACCACATACCATAGCTGCTTTTCAGAATCGAAAAAGCAAAATGGACTTTCAATAATCTGAAATCAATGTGGAAATCTACTGCACTCAGTATAAAAATAAAAATTCGGAATTTAAACACTAATATCAAGTCACTGCTTCTATATTGCTACAGAGACTTGGAGCTTCACGAAAAGTATTTCCAACAGACTGCAGAAGATTTTTATCAATCTATACCTTCTCTCCATATTGAAGATCAAATGGTCAGAAAGAATTAGCAACAAGGAACTCTGGGAACGAATTAAGGCAAAGTTAAACTTTAAGCACCACCAGGTACCAACGCAGAAATGACCTTGAACGTAACAACCGGATGATAAAGGCGATTTTTTTGAGTATGAAATACATATACTGATGAAAATAATGAATTAAAAGGCATGCAATTGTTACAAAGGTTAACTTTTCTTGATGGGTAACATTAATAACTCTGAGTTTTGGATTGGCGTATCAACAGAATAATGCAACGACATTCTATGCATGTAATTATCTAGGTGTTTTAACCCTAACAATAACCCTAATCTTTCCTTAAAGTAACGTGAATGTGAAATTAGCCCCAAAACTAACCCTAATCTAATTCGAACCAACCCTAATGTCGCCCTCATTAGGTTAACCTGACCTTAATCTGTCCTTGGCCTAAACCTTAGTCTTTTCCAAACCTAACTTGAAACTTACCAGATATGCCATTTACTAACATAACACTTCATTAGGCATATTTTATTCATCATTAGATTTAGATTAGTATTTACCGTGTTTCACTAACCTGCTCACTGGGTTTTTCAAGGTCATTGGGACAGTCGTACTCCACTGGTACTTACTGGTGCTTAAAGTTTAACTGAGCCCGAATCAATCAAGAAACCCCTGATCAACTAAGACGCATAGGGAAGCAAAGAGAAGGATCGCGTATACGCCGAAACCACCGTTGAGTGACATCACTTGCCAGGCCTTCAAGTGGAACACTAATGGGAGACAAAGAGTTAAACTTCTGAGGGTAACACGGAGGAGACAGCTGAAGAAGACAGCAAGGAACAGAGTGAAATGGGGATGTGTTTTTGAAGCCTGATGTTCCACTTGGAACCCAAGCGAATAATACTCATAATAATAGCTGCTTTTTGAAGGTTCTCTAAATGATGTCAATCCAAGATCGGGTCTACCTTAAAAAATGCTGATTTAACGTGTCCTTAAAGACTCTGATAAGTTTAATTATATGCATGAAACAGCACAAAGTTAATGTTTTATTTAGAGGACTCCCATGGAATTAAGTAAGGGCATATTTGCAGAAACATCATATATGTGTGGAAACAAAGATAACTCAGACTTGAATACAATCAACAAGTAAATTCTAATATATAGTTAAAAATTCAATCGAAGTGGTATTGACACTGTTAAGTCAATAAGCGTATGTTTAAAATGAAGGACAGTGAATGCAACAACTGTGATTTAGGTAAATTAATCTAATCCAGTCTATCTATCTTCTCTTATAACATTTCGACTAAGAGAAATGTGATACTTTTTAATAAATATGCATTAAGTGTTTTTCTATCATCGAATAATCTTAAAAAGAGTCTCAGTTTAACAGACTGTATTTGATATGATGAAAGTTAAAATAAGAGTGGGTAGAACTTCAGTTTACCAGCCTAGCACACTATTGATTAAGTCAAGTAGCTGTACATGCTGTCATTATTAAATTAGAGAGTACTCGATTGAATTATACCATAAATTGGTCAAGATTTCCACTTGTGTATCAAGAATCACTCGATAAAAATAAAATGTTCGTTTAATGTTGTGGTGGTGTGATACAGACAATGTGTATCAACGGAATGTTATTCACGCACATGTTCCCACAGTTCAATACGGTATTAACAACAGAATACGGTGTATATATTTGAACATTCTATTTGATGTTAGACTCAGAACACATTTCCCACGGTTATATACTGCATTAATAAAAGAATACTATTTATATTTGAACATTCTACTTAATGTCGTTTAATGTAAACCGAAATCACAAGCTCGGTGATTGATTGGTTAAAGAATATAAACTGTAGATATATAAACAGCGGTTTTATCAATGAGAAACATACCTTGGTTTTCGTGTCTTGCCTTCTATTGTTACAATGTTACAAGTTTGGACTCAATCGTCAGCGAGACTAATCCATAATTTTGAAGTAACTACGCCAAGTCAAACTTTAAGCACCACTAACTACCAGTGAGTTGCAACCGCACCGACGACCTTGAAGCACTCACTGAGCAAATTAGTGAAACCTGGCAAATAATGTTGTCATCATCAATAAAATATGCTCACCGAAGTGTTAGATTATTAAATGGGATATCTGGTAAGTTTCAGCTTAGGTTTGCAAAAGATTAAGTTGCGGTTTATGCCAAGGACAAGTTAAGGTTAGGTTAACCTACTAAAGGTGACATTAAGGTTAGTTCAAGTTAGATTAGAGTTATTTAGGCATATTTTCACGTTAGGGCTAGTTTTAGGAAAGATTAGGGTTGTTGTTAGGGTTAGAAGACCCAAATAATTACGTGTATAAAATGTGGTTAAATTACTCTGTTGATATAAGAGTAGAACTTGTGCATTGTGGTAGAGTATAATACCATTGTGGGTAGAATTTATTCTGATAAAGTCTCACAGTGTTATACAGTAGTAATATTTACTGATGATGTTTCGACCACAGTTTATTGACCAGTAAATGTTACTGCATAACACCATGAGACTTTATCAAAATAAATTTTGCCCATAATGGACATATACTCTGTTGATACTCCAACCTAAAACAGAGCTATTTCTATCGAATGTGAGACAAAGGTATCTTCTGCAACACTTGTATACAGTTTTTATGCACTTTTTTCATAAATATACGTGTTCCATGCACAAAAATGCCTCCTTCACGTGATTGGTACTTTCAAGGTTATTCGCCAATTGGTAGTTAGTGGTGCTTAAAGTTTAACTTTGCCATAACTCATTTCCCTTCTCTGGACGAAGCCTAGTTCATGCAGTGTTGTAGTCAGACATGTGAACACTTGACTATTCAGGCTTGTGATTGGCCTGTTTGATTGTAGTGGATACTTTGATTGGACACAAGATGATAATTAATATAGGTTTCCTCACGAACCACCATACGTTAGAGGACATAAGAAACCAAGGTGCCATAGACAGCTGTTTTGTCCTGGTTTGGGACTCTTCAGTAGTGCATACTCAGACCTCACCAGGAATTAGAACCATGACCAGCTGGCTGACCATTCAGCATTAAGGTTCCGAGTTCATTACGCATTGAAGTCGTGGGTGTGTGGCGATGAAGAGTCCGAAACTAGGACGAAACAGCTGTCCAGTGCTCCATGGTTTCCAGTGATCTCTGACGTATGTTGATTCGTGACGGAATCTACATTCAGATCCATACAAAACCCCATTATCTAAATAATTAATCTCTTGCATCTAGTCCCCCAGCCTTTTATGTAGCATCTTTTTTGAGCAACACTTTTAAAATCCTTTCATATTCCCTAAGGTGTGGTTTCACAAAAGGGAATATTTAACAGTAAACCTGATCAGTTTATTGAAAATACTTAGTGAAGTTAGTGAAGCCAGTGCAGAGGTGTGTGTAATCAGATGTAAAAGTTAGGAAAACACCATAAATCTTCCCTGATATTTTGCCAACAAGATAATGAAAGAGTAGACTTCTCTTTCGAGAAATTTCTAAAGTAACAGTTACTTCAGTGTTAGTCTGCCTCTTAAAGATTGGTTCAAGTGGTCTTGCCAACCACTAACAACGTGCTGTCACTGTTTAGTTCAATATGATCCCGACTGCGATGAGAATACTCCCCGCTGAATAGGTAGTTACATATTACTCCCCCATTTAACAGCCGGTTGAAAGGTCTTGGTGATTACTGTGAAATGAATACCTGATTAACAGTTAAAGTATCGTAGTCAGTATAGCATCGTGTTAATCATCAGCACATCAACTCTTCATATCCCACTGATGTTCACATCTCAGTTATCACTTATTTTGTCAATATCTAAGTGAATATCCAGAGGGTAAAGTTCAAGGGGCCCGAACACACTAACAACCTTGGAAAAAGCGGTCGTTTTAAAAGGTAAATTCAGTCCCCTAACTCAGCCCTACCGCTAATCTTCTCTTAGCAAAACCCTAATCTATCCCTAACCAACCCTAATATCCGATGAAGAGTCCCAAACTAGAACGAAACAGCTGTCCAGTACTCCCAGGTTTTCCAATGGTTCTCCAACTAATGTCAGGTCATGATGAAAATCCTGTAACCAATCTAATCCCTACAAACCAACACTTGAATGTTCCATTTTTATTTACTTTTTCTATCTAAGTGTTTTGATGAGGCTTGACTAAATCAGTTCAAATTAATTTCACTCTAAAGTAATTGCTATACTTTTCATCAAGTCTTATGTTATTAGAGGTCAGGTTGAACCTTAAATGAAGTAAAACGGTACATTATTAGAAGACGGAGATTATCTGAAAAATGTGATGTATTTGCGCTCTGCATTTCGAACAATCTGATCACGTGAGGGTGGGAGAGCATATCCCAAAATGGTTAGAAAAACAGATGAATTGTGACAAGCCAATAGATGCAGATGTCAGACTACCAACTTCGTCTATAGCTAAACACCTAATCGAGATGAACCATAAGGTTGATGTTAACTCAGCCTTTAAGGTCATCTATAAAAACGGTCAAGGACGTTTACTGAAATACGCTGAGGCTATAGCCGTTCATAAACTTAAGCCCCCCTTGTGTATTCAAAAACAGTTTGTTATTACTCTTAACCTACCTTGGTAATCCTTATTTGATTGGATTACCAAACGTTTGTGTTAATTATTCTTAATTCTTTTTTTTGTCACTTTGTTTAACTTTTCCATATATATTGACTTGACAAGTAAATGTGTGATCAGATTGTTCGAAATGTACAGCGCAAATACATCACATAGCTTTTCAGATAATCTCCGTCTTCCAATAATGCTATCAAAATTTATAAAAAGGGACTAACTGTTTTAAAACAGTACACTTTGGGGATATCTGAATAGGCCTTAAGTAAGTATTAATCCCAGATGTGACTTACTCTGAGTCATTCATTCTCATGTGACTAGTAAACCAGACAGTTGACCTTAAAAGAGATTGAAGGTCAAGATGGTGGATCATAATTTCCACATGCCAACCAATCAGAATATAGATTTTATGTTCTAAACTGTTAACTATAATGAACATATATCACGCTCAAGGTAACACAGAAACAAAAATATGTCCTAGTTTCTTCTCAAAGGTGTTGTTATTTTGTGTATGAAACCAGTTTCTGAACTTAAATTCATTTTTAAAAGGCCAGCGATCTGATTCGTTTTTTCAAGGTCACTTCATGGTATCACGAGACTAGTATTGATTATTTTATAGTTGCTCCATAAACTAGGATTTTATTGGCTGGCTGTTTTAAATTAACTATATAATCGGCTTTTATTTCTAGTTACATTGCTTTTCACACTAAAAAAAACATGTAAATCTTTACCTTCCCAGTCCATCTTCTGTGTCATCGAAGATACAAAAATTTTAAGTATGAGAACAGTAGCCAAGCGATCGGTCATATGATGTTGTTGCGTGTTGAAGTAACAGAAATAATAAAACTACGAATTCCATTACTATCATGATAGTTACAGCATTAAGTGAGATGATCATTATTACTGATCAGTATTAATATTCTATTTACACTTTTCATCAACTAATTGATACATCAGTGTAGCAGATTTCACAAAATGAAGAAAAGTTTATATTGCCGCATTTCAGTAAAGTACACATATAATCATGATGAAGATGTACAGGACAAGGAATTATTAGATGAGAATTATTCAGGAATTTCAGAATCTGAAAAATCATAACGTATAATTACAATTGTACGACTGTGAAAGATTTTGAACCATATCATCAACGGTCTGAAACCATCGATTCCAAGTAATCAGGCAATTCGCTCTCAGTCCTTAAACCACAAGTTGGTGCTGCCAGATCTATAGTGTGCTATTATATTTAATAGGCGTATAGAAGAATCTACATTATGATTAATACTTTTAAATATAAATGTACAGTGTATTTGGTGTAGGGGTGTTTTTATTAAATGATTGGGACCTTGTTCGGTGGAGTATAAAATAGTAGTTGTAACATATTTGAATGCATTTCTGGGGATCTTGACCTGAAACTTTTGAAGCGAGTGATTAGTGTTTCTTAATAGTCTCGACCTTTTTTGGGACTCTTCAGTAGTACACACTCCCGTATTGGGTCATACAACCAACTCATTAAAATCTATGTGGCCATCAAGATTTCTTGTAATTGTTCCTCCTCACGTCATAACTGTTATAGTATATTTTAATTTATATTCTATTTTTTGTATGTCCTATTTTCTAAATTTCTTTGAAGTCTGATAACTTCATCGTTTGTTTGGCTTACACTCAAAACAATCTGCTTTAATGTCCCACTAACTAATTCTTCGAAGTGTAATTGTATAAATGATAAAAACAAACCAATAATCCCAATGTTACCCGCCTGTGACATTGGCTGGCGATTGCTCTACATGTCGCAAACTGGTAGAAGTTGCGATTCATGGGCCACTGGATTGGATTTCAATGTCTGAGTGGCCTACGAGCTTAGCTTGTGATTGGAGGACGTCAGAATCCTAGTGATTGCGTACTGATGAAGAGACCCAGGTTACAACGAAAAAGCTGTTCAGCACTCCTTAGTTTACCAGTGTTGCTATAATTGATGTCAGCTCGTGGTCAAACCAGTAACCAATCAAATCCCTGCAAACCAAAGCTTGATAATTTCAATGTATTTTTAAACATACTTTATTGTTTCTATCTCTTCTTGACTGTTCACCTTGATCTCAGAGTCTGGCTTACGTCTTACTTCTTATAGTAAAGGAAATAATAAGATTAAAACCGTGTGTGTGTGTGTGTTTGTAATGATATATTTAAATAACTTCTTCAATCAAGCAATTATTTTATACGCTTACTGCACAATCCTGTAGAAGAAAGTTGTCTGCCTGCCAACAAATGGAGTATTCGTCCTTGTTTCTTGTGTACACTAGACATTATCTAATATGTTAGTCATAGAATAAATAATCCACGGGATGAAATCCATTCTTAGCTGACTGATACATAACGTACGAAGTATTGCATCATATTAGGTTGTGTAATACTTGATTGATCCAAAGAATTAGTCATTTACGTCATACATTTATGTAAGTTATCAGTTGGGAGACGAAGTCTATGGCTAATGAATAATATCAATTTTGATTAAAAAGAAGTCATATTTATGATTAAACATAGTCTGATTAGTCAGAATAGAGGACTAACTTTTAAGGGTTAGGTTTGTGTAAGTCGTACTACTTTCAAGGTGAATCTCATCAAAAATTGACATCAGTTACATAACGGATGAAAATCATGAGGAAGTGAACACTTGTTTTCCCTCGGTGTTTAGACTCTTCATCAGTAAATAAGAATGATTCTAGATGGGGTCGAACACACGACCTTCTGATTACGAGGTGATAAAGTTACCATCCAACTGTCCACGAATTGTAACTCCTGTCAACTCTTGATATACAGCCATCACTTCCAACGTTAACGGTGACCATTTCTGTCCATACCTGACTAAGTGCGTCACAAAAGGGTCGCAACTTGACACTAGAACTCCTAGAAGTTCATCTCATGATCAGGAGTTAATGGATTTTTTTTCAAGTGTTCTAATACTAAGTTTTGACCGATTGGGTGCATTAATCCAGGTGTGTACGCAAATACTCGCTAGTGATCTAGGATGGCTACTGTGGAATATCACTAAGTGGTAGAGCAATTGAACTCCAACCATATAGAAGAACACTGACTTCAAGGTCCTGGGATCATTGTTGCGTAATGCTGAAGAGTATCGACCCGAAGTGAAACATATGTGTTATTACTTCTTGGTAGGCCACAATAATCTAACTGACGTCATTTCCTGAAGAGATTTAACTTGAATTTAAAATTCAATTTTTTATTAGCTATTTACAAAAAAAATTTCAGATATTTATTAATAATTTTAAAAGTTTTGCAGTGATTTGTTCAATATTCAATGTTGATATATATATTTTTCTTTTCCCAGAGAAGGTGATATAAATGACGTGATGAATGAAGTAAGAACACAGCTGAAGAAAATGGCAATTACAGATAAATGCAGAATTGATGATATGTTTCTTGCTTATGATAAAGATCGACTTGGTTTTATTGATATTGAAAATCTAAAGGATATGTGTAAAAAGATAAATATTCCACCGGATGAAGATATCCTGCATGCTGTATGTTTTTTCGTTTTATCAGTTAATATTTTTAACTTCATTTTAAAAAAATTATTCCTTTGTGTTCTGACTAGAAAACAGGCCTTGAAGTTTCAGTAACCAGTAGGGTTACTATACTAACTTCACGTGTAACCTTCTCTCAATTCTGGGCTCACTGATGGCTGGTAAACTAGATGGGGAATCGAACTTAGACCACCTGAGTGGCTAATTGGACATTGTAACAGTGACCTACAGGCTCAAATTTTCAATTTAAGCATAATTTTATTTGTTAATAGTGAATTTTTGATGTTTATAATGATATTCTCCATACATGATGATTTGGTTTAAATTATGTAACTGGAAACACATAAACGAATATAAACCAGCTAGAGGACAGATAATTTAAGTTCTAGAATACTTAAATTTCTATAGATAAACATATAAATATGTTCATAAGTAAAAACACAGTTTTTTTGTTCAGCGAAGAAATTTCTTTTCAACGACTTCATTTTCAAGCTGTACAGTCGTATTTATATTACAGAAAAAAAGTTATAAAGTGGCACTAAATAATTGCTCAGTCAATATACATATGTGTGATAAGAATAACGATAATTAAAATATTATAAGGGGTAGAGTTGAAGTGGATAAATTATAAAATTATTAAAGATTGTTTTATAAGTGAATTGAAATCAAAAATGTTTTAAAAATGTCAAGTGTTGTCTAAAAATTTTAAAAAATTAGGAGTACGATTACGATGAGAATGAAGATGTGAAGTGAGGTGGAAAGAACTCAAGTGGTAAAATAAAAACTAGAAAGAACATTACTATGACGAAGGTAAAGAAAGGGGTTTGACAAAACGTTTTTGAACACATAATTTAGGTTTCTGTTCATGTATAGCTAAAGCTTCGGCTATGCATAAGTGAAGAAAACGTAAACTTTTGGATCGATTCGATTTGCCATGTCGATAACTTTGAAAGATGAATCACGTGAGGCTAAATGACCTGACTCTAACAGGTGATCACAGATAGACGACTTCGCAGTTCTACGTTCGCCTTCCATTAACCAGACTGGATAGTGTTCAGCTACACGTTTTCGGAGATTACGCTTACAACGTCCAATATAAACAGTTCCACAAGAGCAGGTAAAAGAGTAAATACACATAGATGTGGACAAAAGCGGTAATCTATCCTTGACGCATTGTCTAATCATATTTCGGCTGGTAAAAACTAGTTGCAAGTCAGCTGCAGGAAAAGTGCGTTTAATGCATTTAGATAAACGATTTTTAATCAATTCCGAAATGGTGTCATCTTTGAATGCCAGACTCATAAACAGTTTCTTCTTTGGCACTGTGATTTGTCTAGGGGCGGATTCTTTCTTGATGTTACGTTCGATAAACCTTGTAGGATAACCATTGTTAAGGAGATTTGATCGAAGGTTATCTAGTTCACTATCGATTGTCTCTGCAGAGCAGATTTTACGAATTCTGGAGCATAAAGAATGAATAAGATTTCTCTTTCTCCCTAACGGTACCCAACTGTTGAAGTTAGTGTACTGCCCAGTGAATGTTAATTATCGTTATTCTTATCACACATATGTATATTGACTGAGCAATTATTTAGTGCCACTTAATAACCTTTTTCTGTAATATAAATACGACTGTACAGCTTGAAAATGAAGTCGTTGAAAAGAAATTTCTTCACTGAAGAAAAAAAACTGTGTTTTTACTTATATATAAATATGTGACCAACAGGGTTAAAGTTCATTCTCTCATCTGACTAACAGATGAATGAAGAACACTAGTACACTGTGTATCAGTTCAAGGTGACGCATTTCAAAATACCAAGCAATAAAGAGACTAGAAGGAGGATGATATTACAATAAAGTTAAGCAGAAACTTCTGTAATTACAAAAACAACGCCGTTATCAGTGAATCTGAGCTATGCGAATTAGACTTCAGCTATTAATGATCAATATCCTGATGATTATCCCCATCTTATCCACACCTCTTTTTGTAACTGAAATGTCCTTCCCTCACATAAATCTTGTTTGAGCCAATTTTAAAAGTCAAGGAAGGTAGTACATTTGTGTGTATAACAAAGGTTTCAGATAGCATTTACAGTAAATATTCCCTACCTCCTTGATTAGTTTACCTCATTTATATAAGACTGTGAAGAAAATTTTCTTATCGACCAATCATTTTCAAGAGCTGCTGTGCAATCAAACTAATATTTAACAAAGGGTTCATAAAACCAATCAGATACTGGCAATTGTATTATAACCGTCTTAAACCTACTGGAAGTAGTACTTCACGTCAGTACGGTCTGCCCAAAGTACATAAACCAGGGCTTCCTCTTCGCGGCAAAGTGGCTAGGTGAACTCCTCCAACCGTTACACAAGATGGTAGTAAATCATAGTGTTAAAGACCTTTTTGAATTTATTGCTAACGTGAATGATATCAATGTAAATGGGAAGCAAATGCTATCCTTATATGTAGCGTCACTGTACACCAATGTACCACTTATGCAGACTGTGGAATTCATATCCCAACAGATACTAGAAAAACAGATCGACATCGGAATTCCAGTTATTAGTCTGAAAGAGTTGCTTTTAAGATGTACTATTAATGTACATTTCACATTCAACAACCTTTACTACAGGCAAATCGACGGTATTTCCATGGGTTCTCCATTGGGGCCAATTTTGGCAGATTTCTTTCCAGCCAAGATTGAAAATGGTCCATTGAGATAAGTAATAGAGAAAACCGATTCTTATTTTCGTTATGTTGATGATGCGTTTATTATTCTTGATGTGAAAACTGACAAGAATGAAATGTTAAAAAATTTTAATGATGCACATCCATCGCTCATCTTCACTTGTGAAGAAGAACATGATGGTAGACTACATTTCCTTGACGTCCAACTGAGCAGAAGAGAGGATGGTTCACTCAAGAGAGATGTCTATAAAAAACCTACATCTGTAGGACAATATACACATTTCCTCAGTTTTGTACCAATCCGATACAAAATCAATTTGGTCAGATGCCTCAAGAATAGAGCGAAACGTATCTGTACAGATGACTCCCTAGAAAATGAGCTAGGATACATCCAAAATACTCTGGTACAAATGGGTTATGCTAGTAGATTTGTAAGGAGACACATGAATACCAGGTACAATAAAGAAAAACTGACAACAGTTAAAAAGAAACAACTGTTCATGAAACTTCAATTTAATGGGGACGTGGCTAGCGAAGTCTTACATCTGAGATTATCGAGAGCGATAAAACGGACTTATAATACCGCCACCCTTTGTCTGTCACTTTCCAGCCGACCAATTATGATTGCTCAAGTGAAAGATAAGCTACCTAGCTGTGCCACTTCAATGTGTATCTATAAATGTAGCTGCTCCTGTGGAGAGAGCTATATAGGGTGAACAACTAGACAGCTGAACAAACGCATTAATGAGCATCTTCCTTCATGGTTCGGTAAAGGTCAAATAAAATCCATACGAAGTTATTTTTTGGCTCATTGGATTGATAGCGGTCACCAAGTGGATGGAAGAAGTGCCTTCAAAGTTATCTATCGTATTCCATCGAGTCTTTCGAATGGAATCAGAACCCGTCTTTTACACCTAGCCGAAGCTATGGGAATTCGAGAGAACAATCCTAGTCTTTGCATACAAAAGAAGTTTGTTCTACCTTTGTCTCTCCCTTGCTTGCCTAGGTGAATTCTATTCAAAACCCTCCCACTCTTTCTTATCTTCCATCTCCTACGTACTTTTATGATATTTATTTAAACTCTGATTATCGTTCCACTTCACCTTTTAAGATTTGACCTAATTTATTTAATTATTGAATTGTCTACATATGCACATAACGTACATATACTATCTTTGTTATTCTTATCGCCACCTGCATAAACCTTATTTTCAATATTTTGTTATCATTATAATCATCGTTATTAATTTCGTTCAAAACATTTACCACATTATTATTATTTGATTCCCAAAAATCACCGTCATTGGTTAAAAATTTTATATATAAGTCTATGTAAATAAGAGGAAAACCTGAAGAAGATCTAAATGAAAACAATATTGCTCGCTTATATGTCTTGTTCTAATTGTATTGTAGATTATACCTCATATTACATTTTCTAGAATATTATTGGCAATATCTGATTGGTTTTTATGAATTCTTTGTTAAATTATAAATACGATTGTACAACAGCTCTTGAAAATGATCCATCGGAAAGGAAATTTTCTTCGCTGTTTACATCTTCTTTTCTTGGGATCTAAAACTACTACTTAATTTGGTATCACTTGTTATGTGGTTCAGCGAAACACGAACAAAATGAACAAGCGCATGTATATTTAGATACATGTTACCTTTTCATATCACTGAACTCTACAGCTCAACAAAGGATAATAGCCTGGTTTAAAAGCTATCGAAGGGATGTAGGTGTGGTACAATAATTGACTTTATCTGGACTGTGAACATATGATAGCTCTACATTTACTTGTAGTTATTGTGTATTGAGAAAAATGTAAGCTGTATCATAGTGAACAGTAAAAACTGTATTTCTACTTAAACATCCTTGAGTAATGTTAAGGGGTATCAGAAATAGGCGGAAGTGAGATGTAATGAATTTATATAACATCATAGCCTAAGGCATATAAATGTGTGGTGATACCGTCACAGTAAATGAGTGGTTAGAACCTCCCGCTTCTTTGTGATTATTAAGATCTACCATTTCGGGTGTGAAGACAAATACTCACAGATAACATTTGCTTGATCGCGGTGCTTATACATCGCGAACTGGTAGAAGAGATTTCATTGTTCATTGGATTCTGTCCCAGTCGCTGGGTGGTCAACCGGCTCACCTCGTAATGTTAAGGTTCCGGGTCAAATCCTCAATGGAGTCACTGGTGTGTAACACTGAACAGTCATAAACGACGAGGAAACGGCTGTTCAGTAAACCCTGACTTTCAAAGTTCTCAAAGTCTAGTCCGGTTGTGATCTACCTTGAGTTAAATTAACAATGGTTTGAGAACTTTATACGTGTCTTACTGAGATAATCAATCTGTTATTAGGTAGTTCTGTTGAAAAAACACAAATTTCCTTAAAAATTAACTTCGTGATAACAGAAATCAATGTACACTAATTTTCGTCAGTATATTGAACATCTAGTGCAGAAATGAGCTGATCAAAGTCCCCTTTGTGCAAAATTGAAACAATAATCAGATTGATAGACAACCAACTAATTTTTTCTCCTGTTTTAAATACAATATCCTACTGGGTTAATGATGGACAGTCGGTATTTTTACATAACCATGGAACATAACGGTTGGTAAATTTGTAACAACAGAAGACAAGGGCCAGGCAACAGATCGTTTATTTACAAAATCAACACATATTTATACATTTTCATGTACATTATTATAGATTATTGTTAGCAGACAAACACGGTCTTCTGATTGGTTGTTTCTCGCTGAAAGTTAATCTTTCATCTCTTTGTGGCTGTTTATTGGATGTTAGATCGTCTATCAGCTAATCGTATCCGCCTACGCAAAGTCTTCTGTGATTGGTTGTTGAATAAGTCTTTGTTCTTATTTTTCTCACGATCAATATTTGGGACATAAACATTGACGTCAATTACTGTCTACCAATTCGGCTAGCAGCCAGCTCTCACCACAAATTTCCCTGACAAATAGACACAGCAATAAATCGGAAAAAGAAATTTATTTGATATTAACCAATCATATAATATCAGCCGGAAAAATCTAAAGGAAGTCAACTCTTTCACTTATCTAAGAAACATCGTTTAAACTGAAGGCGATGGATGGCCAAGATGAAGATATCAAAGTAAGCCAGGATCGGAAAACAAGACAAAACTTCATTAATCTGAAATTCCTGTGGAAATCTACTGCATACAGTCAACTCTTATGTCAAGTCAGTACTTCTGTGTGCTTCAGAGAATTGATACGTAGGTCACAAAAAGCTTTCCTGACAAACTGCTGAAGACTTTTGTCAACATCTACTATCACCGGCTAGATGATGAAGATCAGATGGGCAGCAAAGTATTCTGGCAGAAAGCGAACTAACTAAAGGACTTGTCATCCAACAAGTATGCAGTAGGAGAATGAGACGGACTGGACATTCATGGAGAAGACCTCGAGTGGAACCCGAATGGGAAACGACCAGTTGGGAGTGAACCCAAGGGTGACATGGAAATCAAATGAGAAGGAAATGAAAGTTTATGGGTAATCGTGCAGCCAGCCAAAAAATACTAAAGGGAACAAAGTGAAATGGAGGAGATGTGCTACCGAAGCACTTTGTTTCACCCGAAACCTGCGGGAACAATAAATCACAATATTAATAACATTTAAATTAGTTATATATTTAGACAAGATTAGTCACTCAATGTAGGTGTAGAACTTGGGCACTGTGGTAGAATGTAATTCCATATTAGATAAGTTTATTTTTAAATATCACAGAGCGATGCAGTATTAAAAACTGGATGACGTTTCGAGGACAATTTATTGCTCATAATCAAATCAAGGTACTCACACAATTTTTTTGCTTCGTTTATATACATGAGTAAAAATTGATTATACAAATGAATAAATCAATAAAAGTTCATTAGACATGCGTGAAACAGAAAAGAAGATAAAGTACATTCGGAAACAATATTAGTGCTATCAATAAAATATAATACGATGGGAAATAAGAGGTTTTTTCAGTAAAATGAATAACTTGTTAGAGTGTTATAATGTGAATTGAAATAAATTTTGATATTATTTATTATCTTCTGATTTGACTGGTAATAATACCTTTCTGTCTCTCCGAATTTCCTTTGTCGTACGTGGCTGCTTTCCATATTTCCGGTCTGGGCGTTGCGTCATTCCGATTATTCGTGTGCGGTGTTGAATCGATAAACAAAGCTTCAGTAATTAATCTCTCTCTACCTAACTACATTACTTTTTTAATAGTCTCACCCTGTCCCACCCACCCTAATTTGTGATTACATGCAAGTGAATGCAGTGCAGTGGCTGAGCTTCTTTCTAGGTTATTTAACTAAGCAGTGTCAATTACTCTAGCTCTAGCTAAATTTTTTTGTTCCAATTATCTAGTTGACCCCGGTCTACTAGTTTGACCCAAGTAATCGACCTCACCAACGGTCATTACATTAAATTATATTGCCTTTCTTAATTGGATCTGTTGGGTCCTTGAGCCGATAAAGTTTAACTCTGAAAGAGTTGGTTGGTTGGTTTAAATGCCACTCTAATTCCAACCTCATTAAGAATCCTACGTAAGGCCTATGACGTTCTTTCTTTATACGGTACTACTGTGGTGAGAGCTGGCTGCTAGCCAAATTGGTAGACAGTAATTGACGTCAGTGTTTATGTCCCCAATATTGGTCGTGAGAAAAATAAGAACAAAGACTTATTCAACAACCAATCACAGAAGACTTTGCGTAGGCGGATACGATTAGCTGGTAGACGATCTAACAGTCAATAAACAGCCACAAAGAGAAACAACCAATCAGAAGACTGTGTTTGTCTGCTAACAATAATCTATAATAATGTACATGAAAATGTATAAATATGTGTTGACTTTGCAAATAAACGATCTGTTGCCTGGCCCTTGTCTTCCGTTGTTACACTACTACAGAGGCTTTGAATTCTATATTATTTTCGTCATTTTTAATTGCTAATCTTAGTTGTTCCATGATTCTTCATATATTTTTGAATAACTTCTGGTGGGTAGTTAGTTATTCACTAGTAATACTTCCTTTATTTATTTGATTTCATTATTTAAATCTCCTGGATTACTAGTTAGGCTCTCGGCTCTTAGTCACTAGACATTTCAGATTAAAAATAGGTCATTTCAGTAGTGCAATACATCATTTTGTAATATGTAAATATTTTGAAAGTGTGATAACGATTTATTTTTAATGCCTTCTCCGTCGCTTACACTTTTGTCGCCTTCTTTTTCTTCGTCTTCTTCTACCTATAGCTGCTTGAAAAATATGGCACGAATGGAAGAATGTCATTAGAAGAGTTTGGAAAGTTTTTTGAACTACCATAATAGAATTCGGTTAGAGAATAACTAACTATCTTATACTTTGAAAAAAGATAGATACTACTATCCCTGCTTGTCTGTTTACCATTTTTAGATGAAATGAAAAGAACAGAAAAAAAACAAAACAACTTTTAGTGACTATTCTATGTATTATTTCTGTCTAATTTGATTTGATTCGATATAGACAAATTCATTATATATATATATATATATATATATATATATATATATATATATATATATATATATATATATATATATATATATCTACAGACATCATTTGTCTAGGTGGTTTAATATTTTTTTTTCAATGTAAGTTTGAGTACATTTAATTTTGGTGAATGCATGCACGATATTCAACTCAAACGAGTAGACTGAGAATGGAATACACCATCATTTTATGTAATTAACTAAAGAAATGACACTGGCTCTCTCAACTTGACTTCATAACAAGACAAAAAATAATAAATAAAAGTATTTATGAATAACTGTGTTGGAATTGTTTTCTTGTTATTTCTGAATATAAATTAAAAAAAAACAACACCTAACATTTAAACACATGCATATACAGATTAATTGAATAATTTCTATTCTAAAATTAAGGACAAAATATTTAGCGAAGAGACTGTTTTCAACGAATTTATTATCTTTTATGTATGATTTTTAAGAGATTATATCCTTCGATTGCGGTTCAGCTGTAGAATGCTCGCCAACCACGCCTCATGTGGCCCGGAGTTCGATTCCCGACGGATGAACCCCACAACCTTCCTTAGCCGGTAGTAACTCCGGTAGACAGGGGAGGTTGGGCAAGGAGGGCAGCACCCCCCACCACTGCTACCAAGACTTCAAAGCTCGAAGTCATATGTTCCACTGGAGACACAAAGGAATGGAATAATAATAAATAATCCATCGAGGATATTCAAACAAAAGGGGTGAATACTTTGATTGAACACTTAGTTAGTTAATAGTGTGATGTGTCTACTCCTTTGTTTGGTGCAGACTGAATTCTATCAGTCAAGTTTGCATTCTGGTCACCATTCTAGGTGGCTCGCCATCATGATACACTTTGAACTGTTGATTTTAGATGTTTGAAGGGAATCTTTAGGAAGCCTTGGACATAGGTTTCGTGCTGGTTGGCACTCGTCAGCAAGGGACATGAGTTCCTTCACGGTTGCAGAGATATGCCTTGCTGATAAGCCATAGCTGGAATGAAACCTAGCTCCAAGGCTTTCTGCCGATTGCCTCAAACCGTCTAATATCAACAAAAAGACATGATGAATACCTATAATAATAATATGAAGTATGATAATGTTTATGATTATAATCATTATTCAATACCCATCGATAAAACAAATAATGTCATATATAAAATAGTCCATAGAATGTATATATCTTGGATAGAGGTGGAAAACTAACAATGATATTGATAATAATAATAGTTTTATTCTGGACAGTGTTTACATAATGTATAGAATTTTCGGCGTAGTTTATTATTGCATGATATTTTCCCCTCGTACCAGCATCTTCAGATAAAATATTAATTGACAGTAGATCCTGTGACACAATGCTGTCTGACCTGAAGTACTAACCAATCCATTATGATATTTTCTCTTTGCCTCCTCCCAGAAATGCACGATATTTAGTTGAAAACCAACTGTAAAAAGTTACGGAGTACATTTTGAGACCTAAGGATATAGCTCAGGAACAGTATTGGGATAGATTACCCCCACTATTATGTTTTTTCTAAAGTTTAATAGAAACTAGTGAATAAGCAGGTTGTAAACAAACTGGACAGGACGAAATTGTATGCAACATAGTGATGGAGAATATGTAGAAGAAAATGGAGCTGGACTGGGCACACTCTGAGGAGACAGTCGAATGCCATTGCGTGCCAAGCCACAGCTCGAGTGCAACCCAAATGGGAAACGATGAGTGGGGCGTCCGAGGGTGACATGGAGGAGATCTTCTGTGGAGGCGATCAGAGAATATGAGCAATTGTGAGAAATAGTACAAAGTGGAGACGTGCTGCTGAAGTCCTATGTTCTATTCAGAACCTAAGGGAACAATAATAATAACAGTGATGGCGGTTTTTGGTGGTCCAAGTTTTAAGCAGGCCGCCAGATTAGAAGGCAAATACAAACAGTACATAACATGTTAAGAAGTTTGATAAGATAGATTTTAACATTAACAAAAATATATGTTTAATTAAAATAACAAATTAGACAAGTGAAATAGTACTTACTAGGAACTGTTCAGAGTGAAAACAAAAATAATAATAACAATAATAATAATCAGGAAAAGGTACATAGATTAAATAAACAAAACGAAAAACAAATTAAATACATGTTTATTTCCATAAGGCAATGTTAAATTTATCTTGTAATACTTCCCACCATGTTATTTAATGTTTGTATTTGCATACTAATCCTATTAATTTTACATGGCTTTCAAAGATCTATACAACATTCTTATGTACTATTTTATACATGACATTATTTGGCCTTTAGCTTGATATTGAATTATGATTGCAATCCCAAACAATATTATACTTCACATTATTCTTATTTCAAATATTCATACCTTTCATTTAAATTATCTCATGAGATATAGTTGTGGTTTTTTAAAAATCCTACCTATATACGACTGTACATCTTGGTAATAAATTCCTTGAAAAGTCTCTTTGGTGAATACTGCTGTCTTCAATACACGCACATTTCCAACAGGCTGCAGACTTTGTCAACAGCTGCCTTCGGTGGCCAGACGAAATTCATGACAAAAAAATCTGACGATGAACCAATTAACAACCTGTTGCTCAATAAATATGCCGAAGAAAGTGGAGATGAATAGGACACGTGCTGAGGACCACTAAATGAAATGGTAGGCGAGGTCTAGAGTGGAACAACGAGTTGGGTATCAGACAGTGACATGAAGGCGACTGTGTGAGGAGGAGATGAGAGCCTATAGACAGTCGTGGAGTTAGCTAGGGAGGACTGCAGAGAGAGGGAAAAAATGGAGATGTGCTAGTGAAGCCCAAGGGGACAATAACAATATAACAGGTGGTGGTTCAGGGCGAAATAAAAATCTGGATCCCAAAAGGATTCAAATCAGCGGTATCCGAACTACTAGTGCTGGCGTTCTACCAGGTGATCTACGAGACCCAACTGCTAAACAGGTCATCATTTCGCGGCTACAATCATACATCATGCCCAACTAGTATGTAAATCACTGATACATTACAGTTTCATAGTTACAATACTAGCTTATGGGATAGGGTGATAAAAAGTTACCTACATTGAATTTTAAAATCAAAGGGAAAGATAATTCGTGGATTTAACACTGACCACTTCAGGAAATAAACATTCGGATGGGTATTTAGAATTTTGGTTAGTCATGCACATCCCATATGAATCAAATTAAAATTACAGAACACGATTTAAGCAAATACGTACTTCCAGTAAATTCTCATCAAGCTTCATAATTACATAATAAACTACTAGTCACAGGCTCTTGTAGAGACGGTCACATGGGTAGAACGACTCGGAAAGTCCACTGCCGCCTTCTTAAGCACTGTCCAACGTGGTTAGGAAAAGGAATCGTAATGTCAATTAGTAGTTTCACATTGGTGTACAACTTGTGGATACGGAACACGAGACTGATAAAAATTCCGCCTTTTAAAATTCTATACAAGGTGCCACCTCAATTGCCTAAGTTTCTACGTCTTCAATCGCTAAAGTAGTAGCCATAATAAATTTGCATCCCAATCTGTATCCAGAGAAAGTCTGTTCAATCTCTCTCCTTCTTATAGCCTCTACCTCCAACCCACAATAGTTATCTCTCCCGGTGACACCGGATAACTGTAAATATTGTCTTTATTTGTACTGCTAACTTGAGTGAATTTATCCCTATTATCATTATACCCTAACTCACATTCCTGAAATCCACATTACAAAACAGAAAGTCTATAGAAGTTAGGGTATGTAATAGTGTACCAGCAGAAGGCGAGACACGGAAACAAACGTACATTTTCAATTGATCAAACAGCTATTTATATCTACACAGTTTATATTCAGTTTAACCAATCACTAAGCGTGTGATTTTGGCTTACATTAAACGACATGAAATAGGATGTTCAAATACATATATATTAACCTGTTGTTAATTCAGTATTGAACTGTGGGAACATGTGAGAATAATATTCCATTGGAACACATTGTCTGTATCACAACACCACAATAGATGTCCAGTTACTCTGAGAAATTTTGACAAGTATATATATGCATGACCAACAGACAAACTACCGAGGATTTATATGGAGGGTATAATTTGACAGACAAGCCTATAGATAAAATCTCATATATTTTACCTAGGGTCATATGTTTTGATGTGTAACACTGCTTCCGACTAACCAAATGGCAAATGTAGAATGACAAGTAAACCATGCGAAACGATAGTTACTTCCATCGAAGGCCTGAATCCAAGATGCCTCTATATAAAACTTAATGGCCTAAGGTAAACAATATTTTGTCAGGCTATTCAAATATATTAGAACAAATGGCTAAATGTAAACGAATGCTGTTTAGTCATTCGAAAGACATAGGACTATGAGCGACCTAGTATTTGCACACATTTCCTTTAATGTATTTGAGTAGCCCAGTTAAATGTCAGTTAATTTCAGGTGAATTAATGAATCCAAAGACTAGTTCATCAGTCATCATCCGATGTCTTCTGAACAACTTGGTAACAGGCCACCATTTACTTTCAGTTCATATTCCTAGACTAATCAAATAGATCAAGAATAAATGTATCCAAATAATAAATCACTCGTAATCCTGTCGTTTGAATAAATTAGCAACATGCCGGTCACTTTCAGGCGTCTTCGTCTCTTCTTTATAACCATAATATAATCGAAACTACTTCCTGCGCATGCATTCTGAAGCTACTGGTCATCATTACTCCCCGAAGAATAATAGTAGTATATATATAATAACATGGAAAACCAGTGACTGTCTGCTTAACATAAACTTACTACTAGCTGTCCGGACAGATTCGAGCATTAATGAACAAGGATAGGAAAATAGGTTGTTAACGTAACTACTTGAAATATCCTTGAATAAGCATAGTAATATTGAATTTTGGTTGAGTATGAGTAAAAGGGAATAATGTGCTGAGGCAGGGATCGAACTCATCCCTTGCACAGAACTAGCCCCGAAATCTACCGAATAAGCAACGAAACTCAGATAAAAACCAGATCACCACCCTACTTAGACCCAACCAAGAATTCCCTCAAGCTGTAGTGTGGATTTGCAGTACGTAGTTGTTCTGCCCATGCCACAATATACTGCACATCGATAATACCATAGAACATTAAAATTTTTCCCATGACTTTGTGTCTGCTGTTTTTTTGCTTTTATTAGAGTTTCCTTTACCGCCTCCTAGTCTGCTTATTTATGGATGTCCTGAAGCTGTGGCAATAAGTCGTGACTAGTGTAATCCTTCATGTCAAGACGAAGTAGATGCTCACCGAGGTCATTGGTGAGGGCGGTGGTATATCACAAATTGACAAAACTAGAATCCAGGGGTCATTGTATCCCAGCCCATGTGACTAGATAGTCAATCAGCCCGGTCTCGATCCCCTGAAGGGTCGTGGGTGCGCACTGATGAACAGTCCCAAAACAGCAGTCCAGTAATCCTTGGTTTTCTAATAATCATTCTAACTAGTGTTGATTCCTCACAGAAAGCTAACCATTTAAATTAACTCAAATCCCATAATCTAGATATTATTGAATGACCTCCATTCCATATCAGTTTGACGGGAATCAGATCAACTAACTAAAAGATAAGACAACTATACTCCACTACTAAAGTACCGTAGAATGTTTTAGAAATAAAGTAAAATGTACAAGCTTTGCAAGGTGTTACTACTTCGTAACACGATCCGTAAACCATTCTCCGGGACAAAGATATGTTACAGGAAAGGTATCTATTTTAAGTGCTTGTATACAGCTGATATAAGTAATATATAAGTCAAGTGAGTGAAGAATCCATTTTCTCGTCAGAATCAGAAGACTCTACTGTTTAGACACGTTCAGTAATATTTAGATATCTTATGCAAAATTCATTTACATACCTGTCACACTTATTTATATGTAAATACACTGGCATGAGGTTTATTAAACAGGCTCTGATCGACAGAACAACAGTATCGTGATCAATTACGTTTCGTTCATATGCTTTTAAGAATTTATATAACAACTGGTGCAAGCTAATTTCCTTAATGATTGATACAAATGTAACTCACTTAGTGTAATCGCATTGGACATCATCAGTTGTAGTGTGTATTATGACTCTTGAAGGTGACCAATGTGAATACTTAAGAGAAGACTGGACAATATACAGCTTTTCAAGGATTCTTTAACTAGCATTATTTCGTAACAGAATATACAAACACAGGCATATACTGTGTTTAGAAGTTAGTCCAACTTGCCAATTCTACTAAATTTTATTGCCACAGAAAATGGTCGATACACACAACAGTTTTTTCACAAACACGTTTGCAGAATAAAGCAACCTGAAAACACGTATAAACTCAAAACGAAACCTCACTGAAACTATGGTACTACTGATTGGCTGAGATGAGTAGTTGTTTAAACCACTCACACTAACCTTTTTTTATTCCTTCACGTTCCCAGTGGAACATAGGGGCTAGAGGCTTGAAGTTTCTGTAGCAGTGTTTATTTTTACAGGATGGGGTTGCTAGCCTCATGCCCAACCTCTCCTCTTTACCAGCATTATTTCTGGCTTAGCGAGGTAAAGGAGTGCGTCGACCGGGGATCAAACCCCGGACCATGTGCATGATCGGCGAGCGTCCTAACCGCTATGCCACCCGACGCTAACCAGTGAGTAGTATTCGTTTACACAAGACCGAACTGATCTAACTACCAGATATCCATTTGGCAGTGAGCTCACCAGCGGTGTACCATGTTTGATTCAGCTCAGAGACCCGAATCAGTTGAAACGAACTGGACGAGAACTGAGAACACCACCTTAAATCATATTCACAATATGTAAACTGCGAGTGCGAAACCTCACCATCTCTTCACCAATGCCATCAGTGGAAAAAAGAAGTGAGAAATCCGGAATAGTAAGCAACTTTCTTTTTTAAAATGTAACAACAACAGCAACAACAACCACAACATGATTAAAAGATGCATAAACTATTTTATAGTTGACAAAAATTGCCAAAATTTTAAAAATCAAACAATCGGTAGGTAAACTAACATCAACAGGACAGACAAACAGACGCTCACATACCCCCCACACACACGCAGGGTAAGTGGCAAGTCAGTCATACACAACAACACAACACTATTCAATAAGACAAAACAAACAGAAAAAATATTAGAAGAGAAACAGAATTCTCAGATTTTCTTTCTTTAAATGATTTTTGAAAAAGAAAAGAAAAATGCACGATCTCTTCTGTACAGTTTGTAAATAAAACAAGTTTGATGATTAGCGTTAGTTAGCAGTATTAATAATAATAATAATGATAATAGTAGTGACAATAGTAATTCAATGGCAAAAATATTAATAATTTATTATTTAAAAGACTTCACAATGATTGCTAAGAAAGAAAGAAAAAAGTTGTGTGATGAGAGTTCACACTCATCCCTAATAAAATTACTTATTTTTAAAAATGCAATGATTACACTGATATACATATATATATCTTAAAAGAAAAGCGGAACAATACAACAGTAATGATAAGAATGACAGTCGCAGTAAGGTGCTATAATAATTAATGGATAAAACAATATAAATGTCAACAGCAGTATTAATAAAAGGTATTCACCAGTTTAACAGACAATAAGGAATGAAGATATATATAATGCCTAAAAATAAGTGAATATATATAAATAGAGGGAGATATATATATGTAGATATTAAAAGAAATGCTTTAATCAAAACAATGATAGTGTTACTCTTCAAGTATACTCAATCATCAAAGAGAATGACTGTGATTGGATTTGAGATAAATACAACAAGCAAAAACACATACAGACACACACACACACACACATAAATACACGTGCACATATCTCTGCACTAAAGTGTTGTGCTGCTAGTTAGTTAGTCAATCGCTTAGTTACTCACTCAGATAATGATAGGGATACACAATATGTATTTATGTATATACATATATATATGTATATATATATATATAGTATATCAGAAATAAATAATATCCGTGTATGAGGAAAATACAATAAATGCAAAAATGTTAAGAGATAGCAGTGTTGTTTTATATAATATATGATGAAAACACAAAAGCCAAGGGATAAACTCACCCCCCCACACACACATGATGAATCAATGCAAATACGTATATATATAAAATGATGAAAAAAGCAATGATGAAATTAATTAAATTAAAATAAAGGGGGGGGAGGGGAAGTAAACTGTCACCACTACTACTACTACTACTTATAATTGGCGAGTAGTAGTAAAAGCATTAATGCTTAAAAATATAAACGGCAATATAAATAATAAATATGATGACAAAAGAAGAAATAAATAAGATTATTTGATCAGGATTATTACAATAATAGGAATAAAAAAATGAAATACTCTTTACTTATAAATAATAATAATAATGAAATGAAATTAATGTAAAATAATATCTTTAAACTGTATCTATCGTCCACGCACACACACACACACGTTGTGCATGTGCGGCGTGTTGATTGATAGTGACGAATGATGATGACAATAATAATAATAGTAGTAGTAGTAGTAATTAAATAATAATGAACGAATGCCAATGATTACTGTTCGCTTCTACTCAAGATAAAAGTGAAAGTCAGTGTAAAAAGAAAATATGATTATTGCAGCTGAAAAAATGAAGTTAGATGACTATAATAATATTAATGATAATAAATAACAATAATGATGATAGCTATGTGTAGAAAAGGAGTGATATTTTTAAAAAAAAGTATTAAATCAGAAAAGAAATTATTGATGTGATGCTCGTAAAACAAAATTAAAGTATAGAAGTACTTTCTTGTGTGTGTGTGTGTATGCGTGTGTGCTGAATAAATTTTAAACCATCGTGATTGTTGAAGAATTAAAGACACACATCAATTTTGAACATCAGATGATGACGATGTTGAAGATGATGGTGATTCTGATGCAAGTGGAGGAAGAGAAGGAGCTGCCAAAACTTTTTCATGTAACCGGAAACGATCAACAATTAATGGTCTCACGTCATCCTGGTAAATACACCAACGAACAAATAAGGAAAATGATAACAGTAACTATAATAAGACTGTTAAGTTATCAATATAAACTAAAATCTTCCATTTCCGTTCTGTCGTAAGCATATACGCAGGTGGAGTAGAGCATGGTCGGAGTCTGCACAGGTGTTCCAGAAAGAGCAGTAGTATTCTGCCGACTCTCTCCACCGACAAGCTTATCGCTATGTGATGTAACCGAGTCCGTCGCTGAGTTGGTGATAGGAACAGTGCAAGAAGGCTGATTCCTAGTTGTCGCGAACACGATTGAGAGCGAAAGCTGCTCAAACGCAAGCTTACCAAAAGCCTCCGCAAACACCATGAACAGTAGTTGGCGACAAAAGTCGAAGAGATGGAAAAGGCGTCGGCGATAGGTAACACTAAACGACTATTCAGCCTTACTGGGGGAACCAAGTTGTAGTAGAAAACCGACAAGTGAAACGATCTCGGGGAAAAGCAGTGCCTTAAATAGATTTTAGGATAAGAACACTGGACGAAACAGAGTAATTTAACTGACCTGCAGCCACGCTCAACGCTAACCCATTCAGGTAGGTGTTGGATGCTGGGTAGGACTGAGCGTGGCTGTAAGTCAGTTAAATTACTGTCTCTAATCTGAAGCAAGGCAAAGCGATAGGACCTGTTGGAATGGCTCCAGGGTGTTTAGAGATGGTGGTGATGAACTGTTTTCTGGGTTAACTAAGATGTTAATGCTAGGGAATCAGAGATAGTTCCGCTAGACTGATGTAAAGCATTGATTACTCCAGTTTTAAACAGAAGCAAGATAAGCCTTATAGTGACAATCACAGGAGAATTAGCTCCAAATTTAATAATCATGCGTGGACTGAGTGGTGTTCGGGAGAAACAGACCCAGGAAAACCATGAAGGGTTTAGGACAGGAAGAGTGAATCAATCATATTTTTACCCCTCGACAGATTCTGGAACCTAAGCATACTTAATATCGTCCTGAACTTGCCATATTTTTTGACCAGAAGGCGGTATTCGACCTCGTCGACTGAGATATAGTGGTAATGCTTGACTGCAAAAGCAGTGGTGCATTAATCGAGGCACTCTACTCGAACTAACGCAATGATGCAAGACTTTACGGAGAATTGTCATCTGAAGTAATGACAGTCATTGGAATCCTAATTTTCGTTTAATTTCACCATAGATGTACAAATCGGTGTGACTATAACTTACCACAGTGACTTAGGGATTGACTTATTACCAGGGAACAGTCTCGCCAACCTAGAGTATGCGGATGATACTGCCCACCCAAACGAAGACGCTGAAAAAATTGCAGTCTTCTGGACAACTTGAGCAAAAATCTTACTGTTTGACACACCATTCGCTGCTGTTAAGCTTAAATTGATTGTGCACGGACTCTTAGTTTAAAGATAAGGAGTGAAGTAGTCGACCGTGCTGGTATAATACGGTGAGTAATATCGTAATTAGGTATGGTGCTAGGTAAGGAAGGAATGCTAATCGACGAGGTAGTGTAGTTACATCAACTGAAATGACTAGGACACGTTGCACACATATCGGAGCACTGTCTTCCTCCTCAAGAAGTGTTAGCTGACATAGTATTAGATTGGTAAGTAATTAGTGGTGAATGAGTCGAAATCTGGAATCAATCTCTGAGGTCTTTGAAAGTCAGTTTAAGCCCCATAGAAAGGCATAGACTGCTTGGTTGGGGTCCTCGAGATGCTAAGAAATGATGACTTGAGACTGCTGGCGATATGGTTCAAACGCATCCTCTCTGGCTGAGGCATTCACTCTTTGTAAACTTCCAGGTCCATTAGATCGTCATACTTTTCCATATTACTATTCTTTCTTTCTCTTGTACATTTCTACTCACTCTTCTGAATCTTTTCTCTACTTATGTGCTGCATAGAGTTTGGGGACTTAAACTGTTGAGCTTTTGTATAACGTTCCATGTTCAAACTCATTCCGTCACCATATATTCACAAAAACAGAATTTTTCTAATACACTTCTCAACAGATAACTGTAAACTCTGGGTGTTATGATTACGATTGTATGCTTTAATGATTGACTTAGTTATGCGAGCTGAAATGATTGTTTCTAATAGTTTTATCAAAATGGAAATATGGGAAGAAGAACAACAACAGCGAGTTTTCCTTTAATGACCGACAAACCATGAATGTTGCTAGCCTAGTAGAGAAGTTGGAAAGGTTAGCTTCAAAAACAACACATCATAGCTCACTTTACGACAGCGTATAAGTGGTGATGGAGTTTATCGCACGAATGATACTTTACAAATCTCAATACACTTTAAACAAGTGCTATGGGACCAGTCTTAAACTTCTAGAAAACTAGTCAGCCCTAAGGCAAAGTTCTATGCATATCACAAAGTGAAGGTGATGTTAAACCCAGACGTCCAAAAGTGATAATGTTCGAAATTTAGCATACATTCAACATGGTACGTCGGTAGCATCGCGGTTAGGACGATCGCCAGCCATGCACATGGTCTGGGGTTCGATCCCCGGCCATCGACGCACTCCTTTACCTCGCTAAGCCAGAAATAATGCTGGTGAAGAGGAAAGGTTGGGCATGAGGCTAGCAACCCCATCCACTGGGGAACGTGAAGGAAAAAATACATCCAACGTGGACTTTTTAAACGCAAAGATAACAACTTCAACAATCATCAATATTAATTAGGATCTTTGATGTTTAGGCATTATTTTTCTGAAGGGTGCTTATAACGACGTGTCGAGACTAACGTGTGGAAAACCAAATAAAATACAGTAACTTACTACTTTCGTAATTTCTTTCAAGAATGGGATTAGCTTCAATAGTTCACTGTCATTAGAATCAACAAACCAGCTTTCGATTGGAACGCCATTATCCAACTAGAAATGATTGTGAAAATACAAAAGTAAGATTGATTAAATTCACTGTTAATTAGGTATGAATACAACGCAGCAGAACTTAGAAACTGTGTTGAACTTTTAAACACTTTAACGCTTAACGATTTATAACACAATCCGCTCAAATGACAAAACTTACGAAGGCGAGGCGAAATCTAAATCTGTTTATGGTAACTGATACCGCTTTTATCAATTGTGAACTAGTGAGAGCACTGAAATCAATGCAGTGTAGTAGAATAAAAAGGTAAGATAAGGGTAAGAATATTTTGGTATGGTATGCAGCCAAAACGTCAGATTTCGATTAGATACTTTTAAACCAGATAATACACTAATCAATGAAAAGTATTGGATTCACAAAGATACACTTTAACAAAATCTGAAGAGATTTATCGGGATTAGTAAACTAATAAATTGTTGGCCTATACGCTAAGAAAAGATAGAGGAAACAATTACGGGGGATTCGTTTGCATAATTTATTTAGTCATCTAACGAAGTATGCAAGTGTCAGGAAAAAAGTCAAATTCTCATTGAGCGAAGGAGTTTTGAGATTATCCATTCTAATTAGCACCGATTCTTTCGAAATGTCACACAAAGGCAATATCGAGGCAAGTAACTTTGGACCACATTGACACTGTTGCTATTAGTCTGCAAAAGCAATGATGGATGTGTGCATAGGAGGAAAATACTTTGCATCATCGCTCCAACATTTCACGGTAATTATAAACGTGGAAATATGATTTTAAGTTACATGAGAAAATAAGTACCTATCAACTGAACAATTTTCAGCTGCGTCGGTGTTTCCACGGTAGAATGAACGCTAACCACGCCTCACGTGGTGCGGGTTCGATTCCCAGATGATGTACGCCTAAACCCCACTTAGCCGGTGATGAGTCCAGTAAAGGAAGGTTAGGCGTCAGAATAGCAACTCCACCCTGCAAGAAACAACATTACCAGGGCTGAAACTTTAAAGCTCAAGCTTAGAGAACTCTGTTTCACTCAGGATGCAAAGGAGTGAATGAAGAACAATTTTGAATAACAAGAAATTACCTGATATCCAAATGCCTGTGGTGAATTATCAATAATCACAGTTTTGCGAAGGTCTCTTCCAAGAACACGTAGATCTTTCACGTAGTTACCATTCACACAAACGCAATGTTCACGAAATAGTCTATGCCTATAAAAAAAGAAAAATAAGTGTCTTACTTTTCCTCATGAATTTCAAGATAAATGATTTGAACTATAGCTCGAGAATTTTATGAATATGACAAAACAAGGCTAATACAACTTGGGTTTTAGGTACAGGGTCAAAGTAGACGGTGGACAGAACACTTGTGACTTCAGCAGGAAACTAGGTGACTTAAGCAAAGCACTCTACTGGAACTCACACAGTCATGTAAGTGCTTACGGAGGGTTGTAGTCTGAAGTGATGACAACCAGTGGTGTTCGTCAGGGATGCCCACTGTCTTCATTCCTATTTAATTTCATCATAGATGTACTAATGGAATTGACCCTAACAGACTTCAGAGACTTAGGGATCGACTGGTTACCAGGATACCTTTTTGTTAACTTAGAATATAAGGATGATATAGTCCTCCTAGGTGATGCTGATAAAATGCAGTCTTCTAAACACCAGGAGCAGAAATCTCTGAATGTTAAGCATGCGATTTACTCCTGTAAAATGAAAGATGGTGCTACAGGACTGGACTACATCGACTCCTAGCTTGAAGATAAGGAGTGAAGTGGTAGAGCATGTTAACAGTTTCACTTATTTGGGAAGTTGCATCAGCAGGTTTATCACTGACGAAATCTCACCACGGATACAGAAGGTTCGTTTAGCATATGCTTGCCAACTTACGCAGTCTCTGGAGTAGTATGCGTGATGTCCGGTTACCGATCAAAGGACGTGTGTACTGCTCAGTAGCGGTTCACTCCATCCTCCTTTATGGCCGTGAGACATGGCCATTGGAAGTGGAAGACACGAAAAACAAGCTAGTTGTCTTTGATCATAGGTATCTGCGTTTTATCATCCGTGTTAGGTGATACGATGCGGTGAGTAACATTCAGGTTAGGCCTCGAGTGTTAAGTAAGCAGGGAAGTCAACTGTTGAGGTTGTGAAGCTGCATCGATTGAGATGCCTAGTTCACATGTTATGTATGCCTAGCCATCACCTTCCTCGACAGACAATGTTAGCTGACATAGGATCAGGCCGGAAAAGAGCTAGTGGTGGTCAAACCAAAACTTGGAATCAGTCCATGGAAACTTTGACAGTTAGTATGAGTTCGGTTGGAGTCCTCAGGACCAATGGCTGGGGGAAATTAGTGATGTAGCCCAAATTCGTTCTCAATGGTGCAGATGCATTCACTCTTTGTGATTTCTGATAACCACAAGACCGTCATGTTTTCCCATGTCACTATTCTTTCTCGCTCACATTTCTGCTTCCTGTTCTTTTGAATCTTTGTTTTCTTTCTTTGTGTGCTACATGAAGTGCAACAACTAGAATTGTTGTTCTTCTGTGCAAAGTCCTATGCTGAAACGAGTTTGTCGGTCAGTCAGTATTTACACAGGAAAGGGCCAACAACACATGAGCCATGAAAATATACAGAGAACGTATTTTGTACACGAGAAGAGAAAAGATGAATATAGTTTTAAGCCATATCTTCAGTCTTGAAGACAAACATCCTACTTTATAAACCAAAAATAACTTGGCAATCAAAATTATCCTAGACAATAGCAACTGATATAACTAGAATGAATGTACACTAATCAAATATCACCTACATCCTGTTAGCCATGACTAAACAATTGGACTGTCATGTTGTGGCGTGCTATTGATATGATATATCAGTAGTGTATAAACAGACGTTCGTCTGCATAAAATCATAAAATAGCAGCAGGGAGACGGATTTGATGTCAGAGGAAGCAAATGATACAGCATTGTGGAGATATACATAGGAGACGTGAAAGGAACACAATATGAAGACCAGAAGTAGCACAACTCTGTATGTATATAAACGTAACTGAGATTAAACAGCTTTCACATGTTAATACTGTTCAGCTTATTCCTATCTTTGTAAGAACAGTTGTTTCGCATACACACATACAGTAATTTTTCTTGCTTTAGGAACAAAGTTTATAGACAAGTCGTCTGTAATCTAAATATAGTAAAGCTCAGGCTGTGTTGTGAAGAAGAGTACAAAATCTGTAAACGAATTAAATACTTTAATCCCTTAGCACATATTAAAAGGAAGCAACCTATTTGATCAAATTCTGTTGGTAAAACCCTATTATATATTCAAAAGATGAATATGCATAAGTTTAACAAATCTTTGAGCGTTGATTTATAAAAAATTGATATATCTTAGTTCTGAATATACAGGAACTAAAAGCTGTTTTATATGTATCTGTATGAGACCAAAACAGAGGATCATTTGTAGAACTTTCCTGTGAACCCATAAGTAATGATTAGGTTAAGTTAATAGAAACTGTTTCCACATGAGACAAAGGTTAGACAAGAAAACACCTTGTGTCCTGACAAGTAAATAAAGATAAGGTTCACATTGAATTTACACCACCTTTGATATGTATTTCCAGGCTGTGTAGTTGTAAAGAGTCAAGCTGACTACATGATACTTAGTCATTAGTTAACGACTAGGAAATTCGTAAAACCAGCGCCTTCACAGCTTAGTGCCTACACCCAGATCAGATCACCAAGGTATGACATTTATTTGGAAATAAATGCCTGATTATATATACACAGGCAAGTTACAATAAAAAGGGAGCAACGCAACTGAAAAGCAATTTCTTCGCCTAAAACCATTTTAGGTTTATACTTCAGATTTCCTTACGGAGTTGTGTTTGCATCACCTATATTTCTCCAAACTAAGATGACAACTATGGCGCTTTTCCAGTGACACCTTAATCTCGACCTTACATAACCAGTCAACTTGCTGTAATACCGGAAATCATAAAGATTCTACACCCTATGGATTCCGGTGTACACATGATCGCATATACTACTGGTCGACATGAGTAGCCGGATACCTCTTATACCAACCAGTAGCGCAACGATAGCCACCAGATGGAAGTGATCTTAACACTGGACAGTTGTTCCGCTTGTTTGGGGTTGAACTAATCACTGAACGGCATACCCAATTTGACTTAGCTTAATTCAGGGAGTTCAGTTAGCCAAATTCTGGCTAGTTAGTTTACTCGGGCGAATTAGCATTCCACTGAGAATCACAGATTAATTTACAAATTTAGAATCTGATCCAGTTCAAATGTTTTTATTAATTATAATTAAAAATAGAAAAATGTAATTAAAACTCTACAAACTTACTTGATCCACTTCTTATTAGGGTCAATTAAATTAACGAGACGATCAGCGTATACTTTTGTACTAGCTGTAAAAAGTACAACCTCAAAAAATTCAGATACACTTGAAAGAAATTCATACAAATGTGGTCGAATTCGAACATACACCTGACATAATAAAATTAAAGTTGAAATATAATAAATTAGTTATGCAAATCATCGGTAATAGGAAACAATACTCAGCTTAATTTCATTCATCTAAACAATGCCTAACTTAACATAAAAACGATGGAATAATGACATGCAATAAAACTGAAAAAATATTATAAAATCAGCTAATGTATGGTGGATTGTCGCGTGTACTTAACAAAGAAAAAGCAAGAGATTCAATAAGTAAATTGGTTTCGCGACAACCAGCTACTTAGCTTGTCATAAAATGACTGAGATATATAGGTTAAAAAGAGATAGGTGTACAGCTAATTCATGGATTCATTCAAGTGGTCGACGTATTCACTAAACCGTCACATTCTACTAGGTGCTTCACCATCATCATCACTATCAAACGCGCATTACAGTCCAAAATCCACCGTATTTCTTTTTATTAGAATTGCTTTCGATTCATTGGACAGAAGTTTACCAGATTTTGTCATGCAGACGTGTATCCAAGACGTCTCATGAAAGCTTGAAAGTGATATACAAAAACAAAGATGGTTGTGTTATGTTCCAATAATTCCTCTCCACCTAGTTTACTTCCCACCACTATTGTGTCAATATTATTTGTCAACCTTTGGATTTACACCAAGCTCATCTTGTCTCCATTAAGTGATTGAGCTCACTATTCAACCTCTTTATCATTACATTTGTTATCTGTTAGTCTCTAAACTTACATGTGGTGTGCCTCATTTATTTGTCTGTATTTTTTCGGTATTCACACTTCTCACACACCATTGAATATAACCCACCCCTTTCCCTGAACCTTATGTTTGTTTGATTATAAATGCATTGGTATGTCAATTAATCGTCTATTCACATTTTATCTTATGTTCTGAATGACTGCACATTGTTTAAAATTTTTTTTGCGTTCCGAGTGGAACATGGGGCTTTAATCTTCAGTGCCAGTGGTGTTTATTTTGATATGGTGGGGGGTTACTAGCCTCAGACCCAACCTCCCGTCTTCACCGGACTAGCTACCGGCTATGCAAGGTTTAGGAGTGTGTCGGCCAAGATTTGATCCCGAGACCACGTGCATGACTGGGGAATATTTTGCCGGTGAACCACCGAGACACTAGCAATGTCTCAAAATGACGTCAACTAACGGAATGTTACTCCATCCCAATGTATGAACCCAAGTATATTTGCTGACGTAATTTTTATTTGAATTCACTGGCTATGTATTTCTATTTATGTATTTCTATCTGTAGAGGCTAAAGTTACTGAGATGAGTTAGTCGTTGAAAGAATTGTGTTTTTCTAACTAGAACTGATTATTCTAACTTGTGGTATAGTTTGTACATCTCTATTTCGGGATTGTTACTCCAATCTCGTAAATTGAATGGCTATTCATCTAACGTATGTCTGAACTATTTCCTATTCATTACTTATATAGTACTTAGGTATGAAACTGAAAAGTCTATGAAATAAGATGAATTCACTATCTCATCTTGTAAATGCTGTTATTATTTCATAATAATGAAAGATCACGGAAATGCAACTTACCATATACACTACACCCTGGAAAACGACTTCGAAGATGAATTGAGCGTCCAAAAGAGGATTTAAACTACAGTGAACTAAAGTCTCATCTAAATCAAGGACTAAGCAGAATTCAGGAGAGGAACGAGTTCTTTTCGGTAGTGCAGGTGGACGACAAACAACATCAGAAGGTAATGGTGGAAGGCTGCGTATGAAGGCATATCTAGAATACAAATTAAACAAACACTTAAAGTAGACAAACAATTAGAGCTTCTTTAAGGAAACATAAAATAATTAATAGACTAATAAAAAATTAATGCCTTCAGGAATTTATGGTTTGATTCCATCCATCTGAGTGACACAAATGCTGGTACTTATATTTCACTTTATGACACAAAAACAAAGCTATAATACACTGAAAGAAGTATTCGAACTACGCTCCTCTTACTGAGCTCCTAGAAGTACCATCAGTCTTCGACATATTTGTGGCTTATCGTCTACTACTGAAAAAACTTGCATTTGGTGGTTGAGTTGTATTAAAGTTACCGGTTCAGGTGTACTTACGGCTTATTTTCCTCGAGAGTTGTAACACTCATTTTACCTAACTGAAATTTTTATTTTCAGTATTAACCTTACCAAATTCAAATGACATTTCATTTTACACCGGGTGAAAAGAATAAGCATCCTTATTGATACTATTGAAAATAGCATAGTAGGACTACTATTTTGGAAATGCTATTGTTAATCAGTCGAAAGTCAGTTAACCAGAAAAGTTTTCCTGTGTCTTAGTGCGAGCCCCATTTAATATGCGAGGGCTGATGATAATTCCAAGCTGACTAGGCTAAAGTAGGTAGAGAAAACTTAGAGCCCCGAAGCTTTGGTTGAGAAACACGTGTTTAAATAAACGGACAGCATAGCTGTACCTCCAAACGATGTGTACAGAGTGGCATCACTAACCGTAAAGAAAAAGGGTCTAAAGCATCCTAACGGGACAAGTTTCCTCAAAATGTGACGAGTGCTACTACAAATGTACTTCAATAACCTTCAATATTATTATCTGAAGACTTACGCATCGATCTCCTCGAAGTCTGTGTCATCACATTCTTCTATTGCTGAAATTTCCGTAGACAATTCTTGTGGAGGAGCAATGGAAGATGATGAATCACTTGGTTCACTTTCTTCATCTGAATGTTGTGCCGTTTCATCTTCACCGACATATCCAACTTCATTGAATAAATTAGATTCCATATCATTAAGAGGGTTGACTTGCTGGACTGAATTATTCATCAACTTTGAGAACGAATATTGTTCAGGACACTCAATAAGTGCAACGTTTGAGTCTGATTCTACAGGTACACAATGGTTTGAGGTAATTTCTACTAGAGGTCCCGTTTTGGAAGTACCTTGTAATTCAGGTATTATGTGGTCATTTTCTGATATAGTATGGAAAGTTTCACAAGTGTAATGTAACTCTTGATTGTTAATGGGCTCCGAATCGGGACCGGGAATACACGATGGAGGTGAACTGTTTGGACAATCTATAAAGCTATGGTGGGTTTTTATATTTGGTGGATATTGGTGATAGCAATCCGTATTCACCTGAGTATCTGCATCATCTAACAACTGAAAAGCAAAAATGTACAGGAATACAACTGGTGCCCATTTGAGGATAAACAGTAAATAGACAGTGGGCAAGAGTAAACAATAGACACCAAAGTTAAATGACCTTGATTTGACCAATCAGATAGCTCAGCATTACAAATGGTTCCTAGTCATAATCCTCTTTGAAAGTGTCTCCTAGATTTGGTTTTTGACTTCTCTGTAGATAATGTGTTGATAGGGAGGAATAAAACATGCATGTGTGGAGGGATAATAACTCTGGAAAAGTATTGCCGGGCTATTGATGGTTATACATTCAGATGCAACCACTTTATATGAGGAAGTCTGTATAAGTTGGTAAGTCGTACATAACTGGTGATTTTTTAGACACTTTCTTCTCGAAATCAAAGCTCTCCCTTAGTAATATATTGCGTATATGCAACCAGTATCTGCTACAGCTGGAGAAATTGAGAATACATTGGTTTGATATGTCTATAACCACTTCTATGAGAATCTGGGACCAGTTTTCGCAGCATATTAGAGTCATATATCCTATATGATTCATTTTTACTACATATATCGTAGATACACTTCTTTGTACCACTTCTCACCTAGAAGAATCTGATTGGCTGTTTCAAAGTCGTCTGAAGTTGGTGTCTATTCTTTACTGTTGCCAGACAATGAATTGCATTTGTATTTAGACAATGACAAGTGTTCTATGGTTTACTGTGGACTGAGTAGAACTGGGGACTTAAAAGGTATTGAGAAATGTCGACTCTTCGAGTGGACAAGGAATGCTCAGGAATATGAAATTTGGCACATGTACATGTGTTGATTACACATCAACTAAACAGGTGGAGAAAACCTTCACCTGACACTGATTCGTTTCTTCATCTGAACTATTTCTTACACATTATGAACAAGCAACAAGTATGTAATGTGATCAAAATCTACCAAGTGTAATGCATACTATTTTCCGACACAATTTGATCGTCTTAAACCCCAACATGATTTCAAATAAAACATATTTAAATGTATTCAACTTCTCGCTAAGAAGGTTTCAATCATTGCTCTAACAAACATTTAATATTAAAACCTTTCTATGCCTCAAAGTGCACATGTAATGGGACAAAAACAATGTAATCGTAAAACTACAAGATTTTATATGGAAGAAGTGTACTCGTATTTATTTACAAGACTGAAAAACTGAAAATAAATATGAAAAATGTAAAACAAACATCAACAAAGTAGGAAGTGAACTTACACTTTCGTTTGTAGGGCTCTGAGATTTCAGGATGGGCGCTTTTCGTAATTGCCGTGACTTAGGTTTCGTAACTAGAAAAGAAAAATAAGTCGGAAAATTACTACTCATAGCTTGACCACATGTATTAGAACTACAAAAAATCAAAAACTCGGAGCCAAAGATGTTTACTGTAAGCTGCCGGTTGTTGCAGGATAATCAGAATTAGGGGAATCGGTTGGAACGTTGAACTTGCACGCTATGGCTTTAAGCTCACATTACATTAACAAATTTATTTTCGTCACATCAACATATCCATGTAGGTGATATTTCTCTATATCGGTGATGAAATTAGTAGTTACAATAAGAGATAAGGGTTTACAGCGTTTCTAGATACGGGGAGTATGCGAAATCCTACAAAGAACACTAAAAGGGCGGTAATCAAAACTACGCTCAAGAAATCTATTGGTCCGATCACACAACACTACTTAATCCCTGAGTAACCCTATCATGACTGTGAGCTGGCCAAGTTAAACTTTAAGCACTACTAACTACCAATCAGCAAATGACCTTGAAAGCACCAATCATGTCAAGTAGGCATTTTTGTGTATGGAATATATATTTATGAAAAAATTGCATATACTGTATAAAAATGTTACAGAGGATAGCTTTTTCTCACATGGAATAAAAATGGTTCTCAGTTTTAGGCTGGTGTATCAACAGAGTATAATTCCATCGTGGGTAAAATTTATTTTGATAAAGTTTCATAGTGTTATACAGCAATATTTACTGAGCAATAGATTGTGCTCGAAACGTCATCATTAAATATTACCACTGCATAACACTGAGACTTTATCGGAATAAATTTTACACATTACCATAGTGCGCAAGTTCTATTATGTCAACAGAGTAATTTAACCACATTCTACGCATGTAATTATTTAGGTCTTCCAACCCTAACAACAACCCTAATCTTTCCTGAACCTAACCTTAACGTCAAATATCCCTAAACTAACTGTAATCAAACTCGAACCAAACATACTATCGCCTTTGTTAGAATAACCTAACCCTAAGCTAACTTGTCTTTGAAGAGTAACTTAGTCTTTCGCAAACCTAAGCTGAAACTTGCCAGACGTCCTATTTAATAACATAATACTTCGATGAGCATATTTTATTGATGATGACAATATTATTTGCCGGATTCCGCAAACTTGCTCGGTGAGCTCTTAAGGCCATTGGTGCGGTCACACTCCATTGGTAGTTAGTGGTGCTTAAAGTTTAACTTTTGCCCATGAAAGGTCTCGGTGACATTTAGGATCCAGTCGGTTATATGGTTAAATCGTCTCAGTACCAAAGAGGTGAAGAAACAATGTTCTCATTCATTCCATATTTGTTAAGTGGCCGGTTATCTACGAATACTTTACAGCAAACCAGCTAGATAAGCCACTGCTTAGTAAAATTACTGTCTTAGAAAACTCATTATGGGGATAAAGTTACACACCTTAAGTGGAGAATTTGTAGTTTATTTTCAGATTGTACGTAAGACATGGCTCATCACATCGGCATCGGAACTCAGAAAAATAATAGCTAAATCATTCTTCACTGCATCACCACCGTATAATTTCAATGCAAATGAAGGGATAACCTACCGAATCTGACCACCTCAACGTGCATTTATAAATTTAACAGCTTTTGTCCGGACAGTTACATAGGTGGAATGACTCAGCAAGCCCACCATTACCTTCCTGAGCATCCATGGTTAGGGATAAGAATGATAAAGTCAGTCAGGAGTCCCATACTGCCACTCCTAGCGAATAGGGAGCACGAGAGTGATAAAAATTCAGCCCTGAATGGTCAAATCAAGGTCATTTGACTTTGGCATTTATTGTTTACTCTTGCCACCCGTACAAGAATACACACTCACGACTGACTACTTGAGGTGTTCACTGTCAGTGACTGCCTGGAAAGACTACATCATGCGCATATTCCGGGTCAACGAGACTACTTGTTAGCATTTCTGTCAGTGAAACATAGAAATAGACCAAAGTTTCATCTATCAACAAATGTGAAATCAGATAAGTAATAAGATTATGCATCCCAGTTGGACACCATTGGAATTTTTGCCTTTCGATAATTCCCAATGTGGTGCATCAGTCTCAGTGGTGCCCTGAACAGAACAACATACATTAACGTTACTTTCTATGAGCAGACATTTTGCTACATCTCTATTGTCAAACAGATGCTGCTTTTGGGTCTAGAAACAGCGTGTACCAGGTGCTGATAGGTAAGTTTGTGTTCCACCTGTAGATAATTACATCAATCCCTTAAAAGTTAACCCGAATTTTCACAGAACAGAGTAGGCTAAAGTCTCGAGACATTACGCTATTTAAACCGTGGCCATGAGTATTCTCATACAGTGGGACAATCAATAAAATACACTAGTCTAACAGGACTATCTCAGGTTCTAACATAATAACTAACACCTTAATTAATCTAGCAAAGCATACATTGCCAGCACCCTTCAGTAGTTCTGAAGTCAAACCACCAGGTAGTGTAGCCTGAATCATAGTTGGACGGCTGACGTCTATGTCCTGTTCAGGTTGATGTTAAGCGTCGGGCAAATGTGGTGTATTGGAGGACAGTTAGATGACTTAATGTTTTTTTGTTCCGCTCGTCTACATTTATTTGAAATTCCATCCTTTGCGGATATAACCCCAGACACCATAGGTTTTTGGGGATATGTGTGGCTGAAAGTGTAACTTACTGTCAAAGGTTCTCACTCCTAACATTCTACAGAACTGGTTACATGCAAAACTGCCGGTTGCGGTCGAGTAATTTAGGCTTGGGTAGATAGTATCATAACCCAGGCGAACGATTATGTATAACCAATCAAAAAAGTTTTCCCCAATAAGACACAAATTAGAAACCTGCATTTATGACAAGTAAATGAACAAGAACATCTAATCACCTCAAGCCTATAACAAACTTTCACTCTCAACCAGAGTCGTAAATCTTACCTCAAGTGAAAAATTGACATTGAACTGCATATCCGCTAATATAGAGTGACACGAATAAGGTGAATGAACCAGAATGTTACTCAACAACCAATTGCAATACCATGAAATTAAGAATGAGCCATACCCACTGTTAGGGCTTATCATCCTATCTGGCTACCCAGACTTTGGTATTTGGAGTGGGGTCCGAGCACTCAGACCAAGCAACTACAGCTCCACAAATAGAACGGAAGCAAGAAGGGGGACGACCTGATCTATTGTGCAGTCATATGGTGAGTCGCTAGCCTGGGCTCTGACACTATAATCATCAGTTTTTCATAGGATTGACCACAACAGGCATCCGGGTGAATTCATAACTAGAACTCAGCATCTTAGCACACGAGATATATGAGCCGGCCGCAATGCGTAATTGACCGTTTTGGTATGCATTTACACACTATTTTAAGCAACTCACTTAAGAAGCTGATCTTGGCCGTATCAGAAAACTGAAAAACCAATGAAAACTTACATGAATGCTTTCTTGCGGCTGGGTTGCACTTCTTTTGTGAAGAAATTGGAAGCTCTTGGCGCTTATTCATTTGCACTGACACGGTTTTTGAAGCCTTCCTCTTAACATTAATGCGCCTCTTTGCAGGCCAGGTGTAAATTTTCCGGAGCATATTTTAATGAATGAAAATTGATCAACGTTGTAGTATAAAGTTGAAATTGCTTTGCCAAGAATTGAAATAAGTAACAATACCAACAAAATTCTCAACTAATTAGTAGGTACGAAGCAGTCCTATGTATTGACAGGCCAGAAGAATCAAGTTAAGGCATAAGTCATCACATTTCATACAATAAAGCACGACAAATAATAAATGTGACAGCTGTATTTGTGTTGTATGACATGCTCAGCCATTATAACGACTGACAACGAAATAAATCCCAAAACTCAACACACAAGCCAAACAAGTTTGAAATGTAACACCAAACATCTGAAGGCCGATATAAACAAACGTGTCTACACAAAATCATTAGGAAAGCAACAGTTAATGATCTGATTAGGGCTAGAGTCTACAAATTATATATTACCAACGAATAAATTCTTATTATTACTGGGTTACTGTGCATTTTTCGCAAAGTCACAATGGAACTAAACAAACATCAGTCATCATTAGTTAGTTTTGATAGCAATTCAATCTTTTTTAATAGACGTAATTCTTTTATTCCTATTTTCATCAGTGCACAAGTATTATCGAAGGATCTCTCTTATGTCTTTGTCTTTTGTCTGAATGCACTGTCTTTCACTTCGTTATCTTAAGGAAAAAGGACATCTGCGGTTTGGATAGAAGGGTTTCAAAAGTTTGCGCTGGAGGCGATTCTCAGGAACTGATGTTACTCACAGCAGGGGACAATAAGCCATAACTTTCAGCAACGGATTTGAGAGTATTCTTAGTAGTGAAAAACCAAATTAGACGAACATGCCATATTTTCGTTTCGAATCCTGGGTTGTGGTTCTCATTATGAATGTAGAAGTACTACTAGGCAAACGTAACGCACCTCATAGATACCTAAATACAGCTGGGATCATTCAGACAGAATTTATACCTCAATAGCAAAGTAGTGGTTAAGTTGCCATATAGATCGCCTCTGAATGCAGGTGGTGGCATAAAGGTTATTTAAATGAATGTGGACCAAGACAGACTCAACTCCTAAGCTCCTTGAGTCCTTATTTCAACCGAGATTCTTTTCCCTAATTATTCCCAATTTTCATTTGTCACGTGTATCCCTCATGACTGTAATTCAGTCATTTTTTCTTCCACTAATAATAGGCTAAGACAGTTCCCAAACAGGCTATAAATAGTGACCTTGTATACGAGTAAACTCAACACAACCAAAGTCGAAAATATCATGGGTTTCCTTACATCCCAATGTGTGCATATCCATTCATCAGGATGCCGGTAGCTGACGTACTTAAGAGCCATCTGTGCCTATATAACTTCAAGGACTATTATTGTCCAACTAATTATTTTTGAAGTATTTGTGATTTTAGTTGGCAGTCATGGAGTACAGTCCTGCAGTCACTGGTTCAAAACAAACGGCACATCTAACGTCATTTCATTTCGAATGGTGTCAGGAAACTATTTCATGAGGTTGGGATTAGGTACACCAACGATTGACGTCTTTTAATGATGGCTTGATGAATGGACAATCTTCCTCCTAAATCTTAGCAACAAAATACAACGAAGGCTTAAATTAATGTATGGAATGGAATAAAACAACTAAGTTTCTAATCCACACCCAGATACGCAGGTCACTTCCAGTCCCGTTTTAGGGATTATTAATCTTATCGGAATTTGGCTCCGTTTCTTCAGTTTTCTTTGGGTCATCTAATATACATGGCCTCAGGATCTGTAGATCAGTTAAATTAGCCCGATAATTCCAAAACCCTTTCACAACAGTAACTTTAAGCTCCATTCTCCATGAATGTACTACATTGTGGAATGGATTTCCAAATAACTCAGCAATTTTTTATTTGTTTCACTATCAGTATTTTCAGGTTACATATCAATAGAATACTAAGGCGCATCAAGCTTATAAGGATCAGCTGAATTTATCGAAATAAACACACAGTGCCTTGCACTGAATAAACCTTTCTGAGTATTTTGGCACGAGTGAACCATGTAGAATAGCGAAGGTGGCGACAGAAAGAATGGACATCACAGCCGAATGACCTAGAACCAAGCAATCAGATCACTTAGCATTACAAAAGGAAGCTTTTCAAAGTCTTCATTCCAAGTTTGGCTCTGATTTAGAACAAGGTGCGACTGAGGTTAGTGTAGGACTAGGGTTGGAATGAGGTTATGCTGGGGATAGGTTTCGGGTCAGGGTAAGATTGGAGTTGAGGTGAGAGTGGGGCCAGGGTGAAACTTCTAACGAAGGTTATGGGCAGCATACACTTAAAATGTCAGGCATTTTTCACTATCATAATCGAAATATATTTACCATAAAGTCAATGATCCACCAGGATAAGTAGGTCAGACAATAAGTACTCATACAAATTCTACTGACGGATTTTGAGTATATCGAAGTATGGATTGGGGTGTTTTATGCATATGACCACTTCCGTCAATAGATGGGACCCCGTTTTGCAGCATGTAAGGGGTGATAAACACTGTATGATTCGTTTTTATCATGCACATATATCCTGTAAACATCTTTTTTATAGTAAAATACCATATATAACCTAGAATGGGCCAGTTCAAGGTCACTGGCTGTATATTCATTCTTTACTGTTGCCCAAAAAGCTTTTTTGAAGAAGAATGGCTTTAAAAGGCATGAAGTACGCCAACTGTTGCCACAATTTATTTACGACTCTATGAATATTTCAAATGCCGGCTGTGAAATAGTAGAAGCCTTGACATACGACGGTGGAACTTGAGGTCTCCGATATTTCGCAATGCCTAATGTAACTAGTTTGAATTGCATAAAATATTACTGTAGTCAGTCACATCGCCTGGATATGAAGCAGGACTGGGTTGGGGGAATTTTGCTGCAGGTTTTCTTCTCCACTTAATGCTAATAACTATATGTGATGTCTAGTCTAACGAACAATTCTCTATTCTTTTCAGTCGGATACCTTTCTGATACTGCTGTTCAGTCATTTCAGTGTGTAATACGCCTTCATAGCGAACGGACGTGGAGGCTGTTTTCTTAGCGCCGACATATAGGTCATGAAGTCTTCTACGACCACGACTATATTTCGGTGAGAATATCGACCAGTTGTTACTGATATTAGTTATTCTATCACAGTCTAATCTACAAAGTAGTTGGGTTTATTATTATTTGATTTCCGAGTGTTGTTCAGCCACGTCTGGAGAAATAATGTACTTCTCAGTGAAAAGAGGTATGCAGTATTGAAGCAGTTCTTGTCAATGGCTTCACCACAGAAGCTTCTCCAGCATTGGCAAATTTACTTACTTATGCGTCTGGAAATCTGAGCAAAGACCCACAGACTGGTTGAAGACAAGCAAAAGAGTAGAAGCTGCGTTTATTAAACTTGTAAACCCTGACATCTTTTTAATTTTCCACGCAAACAAGCATAAGTGTTATATCGCACTTTTACTAACTGGGTGGCTTCGTGGATGTCAGACCACCAACCTACTATAGTCCGAAGTACAATAATATTTGTCTGACGTAGGTGTTTACAAGACGTTTGCATGAGTTGGCGTGCCAGTCTTACTGGCATGATGAAGTTAACCAGGTATTAACACGGAACTTATGAATCAGGATTTCTGCAGCTAAGGACATGGAACACGGAAGCGGCTCAAATTTAAATTTCGTGAAAAAGCCTATGGCTTGTCAAGAGGCAGGAGCCAGCCAAACAAGCACGAATACAGAAGCCGGTATTAAGCCCGAAGCACTCACTAGTTTGTGTAATAATTAGTCCATGTCACCGGAAACCGAAATTTCATGCTCACACATAGTACCATCACTGCGCCATATTAATATCTGGGGAAAATTAAATCCTGGAGACAGAGAAATTTGTCCGAGATTAAAAGATAAACTATGATAGGATTCTAGCACTGCTGATGATTGAATTCAAGAGATGGGACGAACTAAGAGCTATCAGAATATTTCAACTCCATCTCTTCATAGCACAGATCAGTGTAGGTCCGAAAATACTAGAATTTAGGCTTTTCATATACCAACTGAGGTCTTCGTGGGCGACTATATGGCACATCGCATTTTCGAGTATTGTCGAGTTTCAATAAATGGGCACAATACACCAGTATGATTTCATAAAAATGCAGAAGTATACTTGAAACCCCAGAATTTATTGCATGTATTCTGATGAAACTGCAGCAAGTGCACTGCGGTCCAAGAATGTAATGCCACAGGTAAAATGTACATCAAAACAATTTTAACTCAAAATCTCATTTTTAAAGGGCACAAAACGTATGACTTGTTAATAAACCACCTTGCGACGGACTACGACTCTAAAATTAGCGGGATTATGCGCTGAAGCTACTCCTTCCGTGGGATTTGCCTCATGTTTCTAACTTGTTATGGCTGTTATGTGGTCACCATTTTGGTAGATGTTATTACGTTCTAGTGGCGTCCGCAATGCCGAGTTGAAAACTATTGCAGTATCTGAATATTATAATAAATAACAGCATTCACTTATTTATGAGCAGGTGACAAATCCTGGACACTTTGAAGGTTATTTTGTGACTGTAGGGTGGCTACGAAAACTGCCTGCTCTACATCGGTTCCATTAAAATAAACACCACACAACTAACAGATGCATCGATGTCACAGTCTATCAAGTAGCTGAGCTCGGCGTCAGCATTCGGACGGCATTACAGATGGATTTTTCAATTTCAGTCTCCGACATCCGAGTATCGCAGTTCACCACTTATCTTCCTGAAGATCTCGGAATTTCGGTTGTATCTGGACGTATAGGAAACTAATCATTTAGGCTCATTAGGCGACTTCAAACGGGCTTACAGTTGGCTACGGCCAGAAAAGACGCTCATGACTGGTGTGTGGCTATCTTTCCCACTGGGCCTGGGGTCTGCCCACATTACCTGCTGACTTGTTAGCCTGGACAACCTGAACTGGTGGCCACGCTGCTTTTAACACCTCCCCAGCCACTGAAGGGGGAATATAACAGTTGAGACGTTTCAATACCCTACTCACTCGGTCTTCAATGCGCATTATAGCTTTCGTCTGTAATTATTCCCATGTGGACTGAAACTCAAGTGTGTACATAAACTCTGACTCACTTTGGGGCGAATGACATGGTCGTTCTACCCAATGAGTCACCAAACAATGACGGGCTGGAAAATATTGTATTTAGGAAGTAATGTTACGTTGACAACCTAGGAAACTTGGTTGATTTGCATAAAATACGTGTGTGAAATTCGAAATATCTTTCTGCCGGACGACGGGGTAGGGACTCTTTCTCCATTGCCGTAAGACAATTTTATATCAGGTTTCCT